TATAAATCAAATTGGGGCTGTATTTTTGCATATTTTCATCCTATAAAAATAGGATATGTTCTGTTCATGTTGGTAAAATAAAGATATAGACGTAGTTTGTCAAAAGATCAGCTGGCTTTTTTGAATTGAATCTCATCGTTCAGAGTTAGCATGTGACCTGTGGCACCTGTAGCAGGGCAGTGGACACACTGACCCTCTTGCAGCAGCTTTAGCAGAGACTGCAATTTGCAAGCCTCCCCAGTCACACCACATTTCCTGGAGCTTTCCTGGTAACGGGCAGTACCTGTTCCCATCTCAGGCACCTGGCAGCTCTGACAAGGAGCAAGTCCTGAGTTCTACCCATTGCCTATGGACACTCGGGGAAAGGGGCTAAGCAGGGGTACAGATCCAGGCATTCTTCTGCATCCCTGGCAACCAGAGTGATCCCCGTTTTCTCTCAGGACCAGCAGTTCAGACACTTCAGCTTTACAAAGACCTCAGAAGTTCAGAGAATTTAACAGAATGATCTMTTCCAGGCTGTACCACAGGGTGCCCATGTACTGCTCATTTTTCAGACTTCAGAATTATTTTTTTCTCATTCTACTCTTTCTCTTCTTTCCAACATTTTCTCTCAGTTAAGTATACACTGTCTAAAACACATTTACTAGCACACATACCTGTTCTCTTAGTACCTCATTTTACTGTTCATTGGATTTTCTGATGAGCAATGAGAAAAGCTGATTACATTATTACCACTTCATTTGTGGGGGCAATRCTTGGGATTTTGTAACACAGAGTTGCTTTGGGATTTCTCTGCAGAAGGCATGCTGCATGGATGAGCCCACATCTGCAGTAAGTCTAGTGATGACTTCTTGCAGCYAAACTGCTTCAAGGGACCCCATGGGTGAAACTGTCCAGTTCCAACTTGCTTGTCTGTCCTCAGGAATATGTAACCCAGCCACCGCAGCTTGTTTGCTGATACACTGGCATTGGTGCCAGTGCTGCTGCAGSGGCTTCCCTGACTTCCCTTTCTTAGATACACTGAGTTGGTTTCATTCACCCAAAATAATGAAATGGCTTTCTAATTTTTGGGATACATCATTGCTCCACCAGTGATTTTTCTTGCAGTGCTCTCACTCTCCTAATTCATACCTCTAACTGGTGCTTTCTTGCACAACCTTGATGGCATTAGTGGGAAAAAGTGGTGCAAGAACTTCAAGACGCTGCTCTCTGGATTAAGTTCTCTTTCCCTGTTGGAAATCCCACTCCTGCCCTCTCACTAGGCATGCACAGAGGAAGGCCAGGGTGAAAGAAGCAATAGGGGAAGAGGATTGGTCCTGCTTTCCCTAAGTACTCTGCATTCCCTGCATGCTCACATTCACTGCCAAACTGAGAATCAGCCCACAGAGCTCCTGAGCCAAAATTACACCTGACTGAGCCTGAGAAGCGGTTGACCTCCCTAGCGGAGGATGGTGGGGCAGGCRGGGGTGGGGCCAGATGACACCACAGTGCCTGCAATTAGTGCCAGGAGAGGTAACGCTGCTTTTCCAGAGGCTGCCAGCTGCTCCCTGGATCTCTCCATCTTGAGACTTGTTTGTTGGAGATGGAGTCATTGCCTGCTGCTTCCCTGCCTTTCTTTTAYTTCTGCTGTGTCACATCCTCATTGCGGAACAGAGTTCCACAGCCCCTGCTGAGGTGCCTGGGTGCCAAGCTCTGCCTGATGTGCCTTACCCCATTCCCTAATTCCCAAACAGCTGCTGGCATGGCCCATCCAMTCCCAGCTGCTGTTTTTTAACAAAACATTGGCTGTATAATATTGTTTAAGGAATATTGGTGGGGCCAAAGCCTTTTCTTTCTTCTAGTGTCGTTTTTATCTGACTTGGACTGAATATTTGTCTTTATAAAGGACYTTTTATGGACCACATACCCCTAGCAGAGGCCTCTGCAGAAGGGAGATTTGAGGGTTGAGAGACAATAGTGCCCGTTTCTGCATGTATTCCCACCACCCCTGCCCCAATCCTTATCCCACCTAGATTTAGCAGAATCTGAGGTCCAATGCCAAAAATGTCTGCCAGAAAGTTCTTTTGGAAATGCAGATTTTTTTTTAAAAAGCACATTACTGGGGGGGAAAAAAACCCAACAGTTTTGTTAACTGCTAAGCGAAGTATTGTGTTCCCTCCTAACCTGAGTGGAGTTGCAAGGGTACCCTAGGAAACAGCTCCCTCTCCCGGAGCCGTGCATGGCTCCCATATCTTGCGAGGTAACACAAAAYATCTAATGGTCAAAGGAACGGCACCGAGGATTTCACGAAGCCCGCTGAGCTTTATACTCCTTTGCCAATAATTTCAACAKGCAACAAAAGGTTAATGTTTCACCAGACCACAAACAACTGAGTAAAAGTATRAAGAGTTAAAAGCAAAGTCAGTTTGACAGGTATTATAGCAGTGCACCTGAGGGCTGGGAAAAGGGGAAACTGAGGAACAGGAAAAGAAAGAGACATAGAATGCTGTTTACTTTTCAGCTGCAAAGGAAAAAAAAATTGAAGTAGTCTTCAAAATTGATTTAATTATACTCTGTAAAGGAATAGATTTTTTTTTKTATCACTAAAAGAAATTTGACTATAGAGACATATCAAAATGGAACATTTTTATATTATTATTTACATACTACATATATYATCTATGTGCTTAATATAGACATTATTCCCAGAGAGCTTTACCTTTACAGATGGACCAATGTCTGATTTCACTAGGGGTATTTCAGCTCTACTTAAGTTTGGTAACATTTTTTCTAACCTACCTTTATCCCATTTCATGTCAGTGTTAGCAGTTTAGATGTWAATTTAGGTGCTTAAACTGACCTGTCAAAACCTAAGGATTTTACCCCCCAATAAAAAGGGTTGGTATAATGATTTGCATGTCGACCAAAGGCTGCCTGTCACTGAGAGAGCTATCCTGTTGGAAAAATTTTGGTAAGGTCAACGTGGAGATAGCCATACCAGTAGAAGGGCATAGAAGTATATTGCTATAAATTACTTCCCTTATTTGAAAAAAAATCTATTCATATAAGCATACTAGAATAACTGAATGCAACATGTTTTGGGTTGGCTTTTTAGTTTGTTGTTCCATATTCCATATTGGTAAAGGCACCAAACTTCCTAAGGCCAATAAGCACAATACTGCCATGATTAGGCTAAGCTAGGTGAACCTAGCAAAGCTCCTGTGCTAGTTTTGCAGTTTTGTAAGAAATGTACAACCTTTCTGGTGCAGTGTCTTAAGAGCACAAAGTCACACCAGCAGCAGACCTGGTGTCCTGTGGGTGGATGCCTGCTCATCCTCTTGGGAGATGTCACAGGCAACCCCTGCAACTCACATTCTGAGCATCCACACCGCTCATCCCTACAGGCGCCAGCTGAGCTGGTGGCCTCTGCTCTTCCCTGCACCAACCCAGGGTGCTTGTTCTAGGATGGACAGCACTGTGGGATTGAGCACCAAAGTCCTTGGCCTGAATATGGGAGCCTCATGTTGTGGCCATGCTCCCACTGTGCAGTGTGTGCTCAGGGAGATAGTTTTCAAGGTGGTGATCTCCAGAGTGCATGGGGGGCAGGAGGAGGCTTCCTTGCACTGTCACTCTGGCACAAYCATGGGCTGAGCTGTTTGGGGATGAGCCAAGGATGCCCCACATCTGGTGGGAGTGCAGAGCCATTGGCCCAGCAAACCCGGGAGCTGCACTGAGGGTGCCCAAAGACAACCTCAAGCCCAGGTCTATTCCCAGGCTCAGTGGTTTGTTTCATGCTAGAAACCTGTGTGTCTGCTTGGGCTTGGCCAGGGCTGTATCCCACTAGGACAGGCCATTCTTGCAGCACTGGGGGCCTKCCAGGGGACACCGTGCCTGGCAGAAGGTAGGCACTGCTGCTTTAGTCAGGCAATGTACTTGGTGCTGACAGCAGGGACACAGGCTCACACCATCACATGTTTCCTCTGTGCTGGTGCCTTGCAGTGCCCAAGAGATTTATTTTTCCCATCCTGTAATTTTCTGCATCAACCCTGTGTCWGAAGTGACAATCCCCAGAGACACTGTCTGGGGATATCACTTGATATCCGGTGATATCTTGCCTAAATACGGTGCCCAGCTCTGGGTTCCCCAGCTCAGGAAGGACATGGACATGTCAGAGCGAGTCCAGAGGAGGCYACCAAGGCAATCAGAGGGATGGATCACCTCTCCTATGAGGAAAGGCTGAGAGAACTGGGATTGTTCAGTCTGGAAAAGAGAAGGTTATGCGATGACCTGATTGTGACCTGCCATTTCCTGAAGGGAACCTACAGGAAAGATGAAGAGGGACTTTTGTTTTTTTGCAAGAGCATGTAGTGGTAGTGACTGGACAAAGAGGAGCAGCTTCACACTGAAAGAAAGTAGATTTAGATTAGATATTGTGAGGAAGCTCTTTACTGTAAGGGTCGTGAAGACATTGGTACAGGTGCTGTGGATGTTCTCCAATCCCAGGGAGGTGTTCAAGGCCAGGTTAGATGGGGYTCTGAGCAAGTTGAYCTAGTGGAAGATGTCCCTGCCCATCGCAGTGGGGCTGAAACTAGATGAGCTTCAAGGTCCCTAGCAAACCAGGCCATTCGGTGATTCCATGATAGGAGGCTCAGGCGGCTGAGGCTCTTCCCTCATCAGCGCCTAAAATCTCCCACGAGTCTATGATGTGAAACACGCACTGAAAGCCGCTCGGCGGAAGAAAGGACGCGGTGCGTACGGTAACAAGAGCGAGACAGGACTCTAACATAGACACCCAACGAGCCTATCCTCAGCCGAGCCCGCCCCTCAGCCGAGCCCGCCCCTCAGCCGAGCCCGCCCCTCAGCCAGGCCCCGCCCACAAGCCGAGCCCCACCCTTATCCCTCAGACCCCGCCCATGCCCATCTGGCCACGCCCCCGCCCCGCCAGGCCCCGCCCCGTCCCCGCCGTGGTTCGGGCGCTTTGGCAGCCGTGGGGCGGGGCTAGGAGCGTGCTCGCGGCTCTCGCGAGAGTTGCCGCGGGATTCGCGGTGCCTGCTGGGAGCTCGCTCCTTTCTGGCGGCCCGGCCATCTTGGCGGCGCGTCTGCGGTGAGCGGGGCCGAGCCGGGGGCGCGGGGGCCGCTGYGGGCGCTGCTGCCGGGTTCTGACCGCTCCCCTCCACCCCCTGTGTTCCAGGTACCGCCTGAMCCCCGCGAGGCAGCAAAATGGTGGCCGCGAAGAAAACGGTGAGTGAGAGCGGGGCTGCGCCGGGCGCACGTGGTGGCGGGAGGGTCCGGGCCGCGCCGTGCTGTGGCGGGGGGACCCCAGCATGGCCTGGGCTGGCGGCCGGGGGTGCTGGGGGAACCCTGAGCACAGCCCATTGCGGCCCTCAGAGCTCGGGCCGTGCCTTGCTGACGCTGGCCGCACCCCTCAGCCGCCTCCCGCCCTGCTCGGTGTCATCCGGTCCCTCCTGTACGATATCCCGGTGTGCCTTCAGAGCCTGTGAGGCGGCTGGAGGAAGGGGGAGCTGGTGCCGAGTTTCTAGTGCGGGTGGAGTCTAGATTTTGTCTTTCCTGCTGTGTTCTGGCCTTTCTCTTAGAGTGGCTCTGACAGATGTGGGTTTTTCGTTCAGAGATGGTGGCTTCGTGCGTGCAAATGCACTTAAACTGTTGTCATGAGCATCACGCTCACCTGTTGTAAAGTCAGCTCAGGTTGCACGGAACTACTTGCTGGTCCATGTAACGCTGTCAAGTGTGCCGCGCTGAGAAGAGACGGACTCTAAACCTGGCTTAGATTAGCAATGCAAAAATGGTACTTGGCCTTGACTAGCTGATCTTAACAAGAGCTTGTTAGATACATGTAGATATCACTGATTTATGTAGATAGCAGCAACAATGCTTTGAGATATCTTTTCCTGTTGTGAGATACAGGGGTAAGAAAAAGCTTTCTGAACTTGTGAAAACACAGCATCAGCAACACCCTTATCCATAAGCTTTCTTATACTCAGGTGACTGACTGGTCTTTCTTATGCTGTATTTAAGATTATAGGGAGATTATAAAAAATGCATATATTTGAAAATTCTTTATTTTCTTATGTTCTCCATTGTTTTGAAAAGTGTGAGCTAACACAATAATTCTTTTCTGCATCTTCAGAAAAAGTCCCTGGAGTCCATCAACTCCAGGCTTCAGCTGGTTATGAAAAGTGGCAAATATGTGCTTGGGTACAAACAGACCCTGAAAATGATTCGTCAGGGCAAAGCCAAGTTGGTCATCCTTGCCAACAACTGTCCTGCTTTGAGGTAAGCAGATGTGAGAAAAAATTCTAAGACAGATTTTTTTACAAATGCATTGTGTGCTTCATGCTAATTGCTTYAGTGTCTTAAAACAGAAGACTTTGCTGGCATCTTCTAGAGTGCTCTGAAATAAAAGTGACGAATAGTTTGGTGTGTAATGATTTCAAGTCTAGAAATGTTGAAGTGCTTCCTGGTATCTTTCTAGCTCTCTGATTCAAGGAGTTTGCACTAGAGAAGGTACTGGAAGCTTCTCACACTTGATAGCATTTGCTAAGAGTATAATGGGACCCAATCCCCATGTTTTCCCCGAGTAGTGTATTGGAAAATAATTTTACAGCTAGGAAAAATGGATGATTTAAAATATTTGAAGCACAAAAAAATTTACTGTCAAAGTTAATTGTAAATATGGGGTCCAGGTGAGTGGAACTGCTTTTTTGAAAATGAAATCTTCACTAATTCCATGACATTTTCTTTGTTGAATACCTAGACCCTTTTTGTTGTCAAGGGATATTGRCAGCCTCAAGAAAATGTAAATGTGAAATTCAGAAATTAGATACTTGAGAAATGGCGGGACTGTTAGAGTAGGCAGCAATCCCCAGTATTAGTGGAGATCTCAAAAGGGTTTGGGAAACTACTGCTAGACTATCCTAGTGAAAGTCAGAAGAGAGGGCAACATAAATGGACTTTTTGTTTTAAATTTAAATGTGCAGTTCCTTTCTCAGCGAGCAGGAGCTGTATCTSTGTTCAGCTTCTGGCCACCACTGGGCATCAACATTAACTGTCTTAGTTTATGCACTTTGGCACAGCTCCTGTGGCCTTTCAGAGGTCTGCAAGTACCAAAACCTTTTACTGTGTAGGAGCAGCCTGAAGGGTTTGTTGTTACAAACCTTCAGCAGACAGCTGAGTAAAGGTTCCTGAGTCACTTTGCCTGTCATGGAACAGCTGTGTTTCTCTTGTGGAAAGGAAARGTGTYTAAGGTTTAAGTGTGGTAGGAGTTRAAGCTGYTCTCTCTGAATTSCAGTTGGTCAGAATTGTTTGTGGACTCTGTAACACCCTGTTTTTGGATTTCAGGAAATCAGAGATTGAGTATTACGCTATGCTTGCCAAGACTGGTGTCCATCATTATAGTGGGAACAACATTGAACTGGGCACAGCATGCGGAAAATACTACAGAGTGTGYACGTTGGCCATCATCGACCCAGGTAATGCCCTCCTACAGTGTAGAGACCAAATCAGGAGCTCTGAGTGGTTCCTCCCTTCTCCTGTGAATAACAGCACTGAGCAAGGAATGAGTGGGGGTGRTGACATTACTGCCTTTTTCCATCAGGTTAAAAACTTAATTATAATGTCCACTGACCAAGATCCYGCTCTTTTGTGAGTCCTAGGTTCTTAAAACCTGGAAGGACTGCTGCTTCTCTTTCTCTTTTACTGCTGAATTTTGTGAGCATTTTGTCTACGTGTTGGTCTATAGGGAGGTTTCAGTGTATGGGACTTATTTCTAAAYCCATCAGCTAGGACATGAGTTTGTACAACATGGTGTTGACAACAGCAGTGTTTGACTGTTCTTAATCTAAGATAAAGGACTGTGACTTWGCCTGCTTCCCAGAATGATATATAGAAAATTAACTAATAGACAGGTGGATATTCATGAAGGGATGAAAATTATATTAAATGCTTTCTTTTAAAACTGTAAGTTTTAGCAATTACCTAAGTTTGTATATGTTTGTTTGTATGTAATTACTGTGGTTTAGTAGCACTCTTTGTCCCAGAGAGTTGCTCGAATTCCTTATATAGACCAGTAGATGACTTCCCATCCTCTTTCCTGAATGTTTTAAGAGAAAGTCAATCCCTTGTTCTTTTTGTTGACCAAAATGCGTACTTGTTGGTTTTAATATTTCTTTAATGACTTTAACCAGATGTTCCCCAAGTGACAATGATTTGAATTTCCTACTTCTTCAGAAAACTTTATTTACCTTACTTGTATTTAAATAGTAGCTGTAAAATTAATTTTCAAAATGTCAGTTTCAAGTTTGATTTTGGGTGGGGTGGGAACTGCAAGTAAATCCTAATGCTCTATAGCTAATAATGCGAATATTCTCGCTGTCCTGATATTTCCGTGATCAGGGGAGGCTAGACATTCGCTATAGTAAAACTATGCATTGTGTCCTCCAGGACTAGATTGCTGTTCTAGTACTGGCTTTGTAAATGCTGGTGACATGGGCGTAATTACTGGGAAATACTGTATTTGGATTAGAAAAAACACAGTTACAATTTTTTTTTTTCAATCCATCACAAATATTTGCATTTTTCCTAAGCAGACTATGTGTTTTGCTTTTAAGTTTTCTTTTTCTGGGATCACTGTGGTGGTTTTWTTGGGTAGCATTTTTTTCTTATTTTTATTCCTAAAAACATCTTTCTATGGGTCCTCTTGTAACAATAYATTTTTGTTTTACAGGTGACTCTGACATCATTAGAAGCATGCCAGAACAAACCAGTGAGAAGTAAATGCTGTAAAGGTGTTATTTCTACAATAAAACTGGTTACAGAACTCTTTTAAGAAAAATTTGTATTATACCTTTGTTKGTTTTAGGGAACAAACTATATAAATGAAGATTCGTTACCACTGCTGTGTTTCCTGTTCTGTTAGAAAAAAAAACCTTAAACCTTCACATGGCAAAATTTGCCTCTTTCTGTAGGAATTGTGGTTGAGAGCTAAGTGAAGGAAGGCTTGATCATGGCAARTATGGTGTCAAATCCCATCTGGCCAGGGCTTCCTTTGTGTTTGCTTTTGGGRTGCTAATGCAAATACAAAGTATAATGTGAGGGACAGGAAATTTGGGATATTAGTGGGGGATTATAAAGGGTTTACTTACATTAAAATAATTCACACTACTTTTATCAAATGAATCAAGTACTACTGTGCATTATTCCCTTTGTCTTTTCCCACCAAGATTACTTAGCTGTAAAAGGGCAATCAGGATAAAGCTTCTAGATGTGTGTAACATATGCTTTCAGTAAGAGACCAATTAACTTCACAAAGCTGTTTTTAAGTCGTAGCCTTTTTTTTGGGAGTTTTCTGAAGATGTTAAAGACAGATGAGCTGGTGTTCTCAAGTCACAATTGCTGAGAATGTCAGTATCTTAAGAGATTTTTGCCTGTTTTGTGCAAAACCATGACTGCAGGATGTTCCTTATGACGGGATTATTAATTGAGTGGCCAGCGCTTTTCTCACATGTGGTAAAAGAAACACCTCATGAAAGTCAGAATGTGCCTGTAACCTTGCACAACTCCAGAACCTGCAGAATTCCAAAGTATGCCAAAGTATGCCAAAGCATACCTTTCAAAGCTTGCTGTTGTGTATCCATGCATGCTCATTAGCTTGTCTGAGATCACTTAATCATTTAAGTTCTGCTGCAACTATGTCTGTTTCTGTTATAAAATGGATGAAGCTGTGGGTTTCCATTTGGAAATAGTCAAGGCAAACCCCAGTGTGTGTCAAAGCAAAGGAGCAAATGCTGGTCTCTCTACCTATTAAACCACAAATCTGGCTGACTTGCAGCCAAGGAATGGGAATGAGACTTAAGACACTTCAGGTTGCTAGAATAGAAGCAATTTTCTGGTTTTATTTGTGTGTTAGTGTTTGATAAATAGGTGTACAGCTATCTGAATTGACCAAATAATGTTTTCAGAATTAACATACTGCTTGCATTCGGCAAAGTTAGTGRATACTGACTGAAGGACAGCAGGGAGAAGTTGGATAGTCTGGACATGATAAGAAAAAGTACTTGAAATTTAAGGTTATGATGTCCTGATAATCCAGTGGACTTTCCACTTCACATATTTAATTTCATCACATTTTAAACACAAATGTGTAAATTTGTCTTTTTACTTCCTACTGATTCAGTAGTTACTCTTATTTGAAGAATCCAGGTTGAGCCTAATGTGAATGCTGTCAAACTTGTTCTATGTATGTATGTATACATAGAACTATATATATGTACACACGGTGCTTAAATACAGACTGTGCTTAAAATGCCAAGAGTGGAGGAGGGAAATACAGAAAAGCAAGCCAAAWAAATTCATACCCTAAAAATAGTTCAAAACATGGAGGATTCATTCAAAAATAACAGCATTTTATTATTTTGCATAGCTTATTTCAGTTGTTCTGCTTAATTAGATTTTTTGCTAGTTACTAAATTGTTTATATAAATTTTCAACATTTCTTATCTGCAATCGATGCAAGACATGACATATAGATACAAGGATCCAAAATACTCTTTTCAACTTCAGACACAAAGATTTGTTATTTCACTTTGAACCATTTTAMGAAAATAGCTCTGACAAGTTTGTATGTATAAATATACAGTGTGGCATACACTTTGAATTCTGATCAGTACTTTAGCCTGTTTTCCAAGTCTTCCATTCTCTTCGTCATTTCTTCCAGTAGATAAAAGTTAAGGAASGAGAGCTACTGATAGGATGAATTAATAGAAAAAGGCAGCTGCCTGATTGCTATGGTCTATAAACATTCTCTTGTTTCTCCTCTTTGACTCCCAGTAGTTTTTCATGCAAWACTTCCCTGTATTTTCTTTTTCTGATTTGATCAGCTCAGTGGCGAAAGCAGTGTGAAGCCCCATTCCTTAACAGGCATACTGTGACATAGAGTTCAGCTTATTAAAAAGGCTGGTTGTGAAAACTGTTTGCTTTTCCTTGTTTTAAAGGGATGGTAAATATCTAGTTAATGCTGTTAACGAAATGTTTCGCTCAATCACATGGAAAACTGCATGTAACTACGAGCAGATTATAAAACTGTGGGGCTCTGAGACCCCAGTAAGAATGTCTGCTCGTTTTGATCTGTTTCTCCCCTTGTGCCAGTGGTTCCCAGACAAACGTGGAATAGAGCATAATTACATGGGGTCTAGGGCTAGTTTTAAGAGTAAGAAGCTGTAGCAAGTGCCAAGTGCTGTACAGCATCCCTTTCTTGGTAAGCACTTCCAGTTGGCAGGAATGYTGTCTGCTGCAGGAAGAGGTTGGACCTGTACTGTTTACTTCAGCACCTCTCTCCAAGTGTCATGGAAAGGCTGCAGCCAGGGGAAGCTGAGAGGAAGAGGAGGCCTAACTTCAAGAGAGAACTGAAGGCACTGAGATCTACCTCAAAATGATGAATTTGCTTCACCCCACTCTTTGCTTGTTCAGGTAGTGCCTTGATAATATTTTAAGGTTTTACACAAGGGAAGAGAGAGGCCTGGGCTTATAAATTGCATTTTTGACATTGCATTTTTTGTTAGGAATTGTTWAGGCCAGACAGTCAAATTGAGATTTTGGCTTCTTGAGTTTGGCTACAATAGCCACATATGCTATGTCCCCCTCTTGACAGCAGGAGAATCTCCTTTTGCGAGTAAGGAGCAAGAGTGGGTATCCTGCTTCTGTGGGTGTCCAGCTTCCTGGACATTGGGTTTGGTAACTTCTCATCTGTCTGCTGCAGCAAGGATTACTCTGTGCATATGAGCACCATGTGAGCTCATTCTCTGCAACAGCCATATTTCTGAAGTGTTCATAGAAGCAAAGTCTGAGCAGTGGAAATTGCACTCAACTACTGATAGAAGTTCATATAGTTGGACCCACAACAGTTTGGACTGGTCCCTCTAAATATGTACTGTGTAAAGAGCCAGTAGCCAGTTCTCCCTCCCCACTCCCCAGATCTCTGGATGAGGACTAGCCAGCATTGCAGTTACGAACAACTTGTGTATAACCTCATATTTGACCTTGCCTTGAGATAAGGCAGAGAAAACTGGATGCTTCTTACTCTGTTCAAAGAAGTGGCTGCACAGTGCTCTGAGGAAGTGCTTAGCACTCTTCTTATCAAAATTCCTAAATCTGGCTAAGTGTCAACAGGTTTTCCATCACCTTGAGTCCTTGAGATAACCACAAGTTGCCTGCTCAAATGATAAAGCAAATGTTGCTAAACCCTATGCTCTGATTCTGAGTTAAGCTCAGAGTTCGTCTTAGCCCAGCTGCAGGATATTAAAGAGGCTGAGGCTTCTGAAGAGGCAAGAATTGGTCTCCTGTCTTGTCAGCATGCAGGTTGCAACTCTGCATGTCATGTAACATTTAAAGATGTGGGAAATTACCTAGAAGTTTAATGTCATTTGGAGAAGTTCCCTCAGAGAAGTGTGCATGTTGATGAGCATTTGAAACACCTAGCAATAATCTTACATGATGGCTTTCTCCCCCTCTATGAAATTTCTTTGTATAAAATAATTTAATAAAGTGATTAGAGCATAATTCCTTAAAATATCTGCCAAAGGATTCACTTGTGAAGGTGAGGGAGAGGCTGGCTGCTGCAGGGAAGGTCTGAACAGGAAGCAATATTCTTCATCAGGTTACCAGCACCAAGGACTCTGCTTGCCTCACTCTGGCCAGGCTGTTCACAGGTACCTCAGTCTGAAGCTGTCCTTGTCTAGGAAGCACAGAGTTGTGAGCTGTTGGTATCACTGCCCTCTTCTATGCAGAGAATAAGTACTTACAGCTCTTGCCCACAGTTACAGAACTCAAGATGCGATGTCTTCTTACTGTTTATTTGATCAGAAGCAGCGTTCAGGAAGAAAACAGGAACTTGCTGCATAAATACTGCATGGTGAGTTGTATTGCCAATTTGCTGCTGTTGTTTCCTGAGATGTGGTGGATGTTAGAGGTAGTTAAAGGCTGCTGCACCCTTGAAGCAGACTAACTGGGGCACAGGGGAGCAGAAGTTACTGGTACACTTTGCTGTGTTTTATCTGCATTTCTTTTGCAAAATTTATCTGCATTTCTTAATGCAAAATTAAGCAAGCCTGAGTCCTCTGATTTCCTCTTCACCGGGAGTATAGTTTTGAATGATTCACTGCATCTGGTGCCTCACCAAGCAGTTCAGAAGGTAAACATTTCCTATACTGTGACTCCTGCAGCCAGTTAATGCTATTTCAGCACCATCTGAAGAAGTAACCCAAAGCAGAGCATGTTAGTTTTGAATTTRACCAGTCATTTCTTTGCTGTCCCTSAAAGTGTTTACTGATAGAGGTTATTAAAATTCAAGATCCTTATTAATATTTTGGTCCCTTCATAGGAGGAGCAGATTAAAAGTCTTCAAGGCCTTGCTTCTTGGAAACTAACTGTGTTATGTAGTTTAGATTCTCATACAATAAACTGATTTTAGGAATGGAGACAGTTTAGACTTGATGCAAAAAACAATTAGTTTGTTTTAACCTGCCTTTCTGATATATAAGAAACAGTTACTCTGAAAGGATATATCGCTGGGTGAGCTTTTTTACTTCATTGGTTGCATAGTTCTGGAATGTGACRAGGTTTTCACATTTGCACTGGTCGTTATCTTTTGAAGCTTTTGCTGAAAAACAAACACTTTAGCATAGACTAAATGCTGAATAAATTGAATAGGATGGGGAGAAAAATGACAAGGAATTATAAATGCAGAGCAGATTTAATACAGCTTCCTGTTCTCAAAACAAGTCAACATCCAAAGGAATGCCCTGAGGCAAATTCAATACTGGAAAACAGTACACAGTATGTAGTCCTGTATATTCAAAGAACAGTCTGGGTTATTCTAAACAAAGGTAACCCAATTACCTGTTGTTGAGTGACTGTCTTCGAAAACATACTCGTGATGTACTGCAAGATGTGGACAGTCAATGACATCTGTGATGGCTATTGTGGTTGATTCAGGTCCTGCAGGAAACCCCCCCAAAAGTCTAAAAATCAAACCCACTGCATTATAATTTTTTTCTACTCACATGCACTGAGTTCTCCTTAATTAGTAAGTAATCTCACTGATTGCAGTGAGGGTAATTCATGGGAAGGACTAGGGGTACAAAGATGTGAAGGAACCAAGCTGTTAGACTGTATTTACTGTATACATGACTTAAGTTCTTGGTTGCAGAACTTAAAGGAAATAGTGAAGGTTCCTGCGAGAAACAGAAGTGACAGAAAGCTGAACATGCTTAAAATGTCAAGCACAGTGTTGAAATAGAAGTTTCCCCATGAAGTATTTCATTTGTATGGTGTAAGAAGCATGCAGCCATGCTTTTGTTACAGTGCATCTCAGTTTTTYCCATTGCAAAAAGGAAGGTSACTTTTAGGGGGAAGGAGGAAGGGACATGGGATGAACCATTTGAGCTGAATCGTGAGGGTTCTCTACAGAAGGCAGAGAACCATGCCAGAAGGCATGAAGAGGCCAACTTAACAGTGACAGAGGAGACAGCAGGATAGGACACTTGAGTTAAAACAGCCAACCTGAAGGCTGTGGGCCGGTCTTATGAAGCCTCCCAGATGATGCATCCTGCTGGTGAGGTGAATCTTTCAAGGCTGGTAGATAGAAATTACCACAGGAAAACAGTATCACAAAAGGAGTAATTAAAATGTTTACATTCTTTAGAAGTGGAGATGTTTCTTGCCAGTAACTTGGTATTTGTCTCTCATAACACATGGAGAATGTCTCATACCTGTAGAATTTAGAAGGGGTCCAGTGTTGAAGGAAACTCCAGGACTTGCCCTTTAACTCAGACTATCAGAGGAACTCTTCCAAAACCAGAAGTGATTATTTATTAATAGTGAAGCAATCTGAAATGACAGCAATCTACTTCGTGTCCTATACTGAAAATTATTTCATGTTTCATTATCATCCATCATACTTTGGGGTGAACTGATTAAGAATAACTGCTTGGAGAAATAAATTTTCTTACTGTCCTTCAGTTTTCTTCTTTATGATGGGAAGCATTAATCAGGGACTTGGGAGTTTTTAGGCAAGAAAGGTGCAGTAGAGTCTATTTGATACACTGTAGTTATAAGCAAAAATACATGTTTCTAATTAATGAGGCACAATCTTTAAAATGTAACTATTTTAGATTCCACATCCGATCTTTTTAGTCAAGAGACTGATAGAACAGAAACGTTCTATTTGAGGTGGAACCTCACTCGTTGTGTGCCCTGCCCCTTTCTTGCCGCCAGAGGGTAGTGTGGAGGCGGTTATTTAGGAACGGATCCTTTCTCGGAAATGAACACCTTCGACTGACTTTAGAGCCCTTAATGGTCCAGATGAGCTAAAGAGCAGGTATTTAACAACTGCACGACTTGACCGATGATGCCASGGGAGTGCATGGAGCATCTGGGACTCACTCTCTCCTCTGGAACCCAGAGCTCCTTCACTGAAAGTGAATGCATGGGGGTAAAAGGGGACAGTGCAAACTCTCCTGATATGACACCCAGATTTGCTATAGGTATTAGGATCCCTGCTGGTTTAGCCAGTTTGGACAGATGCACAATAATACATAGCTGTGCTAGGTTGTTCTGGGAAGGAGTTGAGGCCYTCTTGAGTGGAATTATTGAGCATGAGTATCAGGGAAAACAGATGAGTGGTTAAATAAGAAGACCGGAGATCAGGCAACAGAGCCACAATATTTATATGTATAAATATCATCTCAGTTTGCATGGGAACCAGCTGCTGGAAGATTTTGGAGAAGAGTTCAGGACAGAGAGGTGTGGGATGAGATCACAAGCGAATGAAACAAACTGGAAGTGGAGTCCAGCTGAAGAATGATCAAGTGGGAACAAGGACAGTGAAGATTTCTGTTGTAGGAGAGATTAAACAGGWAAGATGAATCTTGTGTGTTTGACCCTCGGTAATAACTTGCTCTAGAAGTTGTTCAGGAGCTGCAAGCTAATGAGGGGATTGTTTCGAAAGGGCAGAGGAACTGACCCGAAACATTTGAGCTTTGGATACAGGGCTGTTATGTACACATAATTAGGGACAGAAAAAAAAGATGCTTGTGTAGAGGTGTGGCAGAAGGTCTCCAGTTTGGGATGGGAATTGGGCATTTCAGAAACTCTTCTTCAGGCTTCAGAAACTGGTTGGGGCTCCAAGATTTCTGATCTCATTGCCTCTGTAAAGCTCAATAAACACACAAGGCTGATCACCCTGAATCCCATGGTGAAGTCAGTGTAATGAATAAATTTKCTGGGGAATAATGCTGAATGTTCATTTTCAGTGTTCTGTCTTGTAAAAAAACCCACAAGTAATTTGTTAGGAGGAGCCTGTGAGAAAGTGTCCTCAAAAGCAGTGTCTGAATATTTGCTGAACTGATAACGATCCACAATTTGGAAGGAGAACAGAATGTTAACCAGCTGGCTGCTGCTTACTGTCATCTGATCAGGCTGGGGTCTTGTGACAAAAATAGTATATGATCAAGTAATTAAAAGCTCCCATAATGCACATGCTCAGAACGGGGGTGAAGCTGCAATCATATTGAGTGCATATTATGTATGACATTGCCGGAGCCTCGTTAGTGCTTCCAGTCAGATGAGAAATTAACATTAACCAAGGCAATGAATGGGAACCTTCCGACTGAATTCCTCTTAATAAGAGGCAAGAGAAAAAAAATCACTCCTTTTTTTCCCTTTACTACTAGTCATCAAGMATAATTAATAGTAATCAGCAGCTATTCTACAAGGCAGATGCTTTCTTGCAGAATGAAAAGAAAAAGCTTTACCCCCCMAAAAAAGATTTGCAGGGCTTCTGCTTTAGTTGGAAATATGCAGTGCATCCACAGCTGGGACTAGGGATGAGAGGCTTTGTCAGTGGAGTCCATGAGATTCACGGATCTCCCCCTGTTTTCACACAGTGGACCCTCAGAAGACCTCAGCCAAGGACCAAGGCTGGAGTAAAGATAAAAGTTACTGCTATTGCAAAGGAGGAGAAAAATTAAGCTGTAGAAACTGAAGGTATTAAAGAAAGAMCTTTCAGCTTGTGTAAAAGGTTTGGAGGCAGAATTTCTGGTGGAGTGAGTTGATGAGTAATAGGTAGTCCTGGAGTATCCAGAAAAACMAGACTGGCTCAGTTCACAGGTGTGAGACATTCATTGCCTGTTGTTGAGAGAGGGGGCGGACAGAAGCTGAGATGCCAGCGCTGCCCAGTTACCAGAGGTGTAGACAAGAAACTGCCACAAAGGGGCAGGATTTACTTATTTTTCCATATTGTAAATAATGTTAAAAGGAAAAAAGGTGGTTGCTAACCCCTGCTGTGGATACCTGAAGGATGCATTTCCATCACTGCCTCTGGAGTTTGCTAATCAGTGAGAATTACTATACTRGGGTTTGCTAATGAGTGAGAATTATTGTACTGACTGCCAGGTAGTTTTGGCTTTGGCAKCTACAAAAGCTTTTAAGAAGTCATCAGAAGATTATCTGCCCAATAAGGTTAATTGAATTGACTTGGTTTTATGTTATCATGGTATTTCATATTTCAGAAATATGAAACTAGGACTTCTTAAGACTRAAAGAAAAAGAATGTGCAAGCTAAGAAACATCCTCGTAGTCTTTTTTACAGATTCTTCCTTGAGATCTGTGTAAATAAATGTCCTGTGGCAAATTTTATACAGTAACGTTCAAAAAAAAAAAGGGCAAAACCTGTTTGCATTTAATTCCAAGATAAACAACCAGATAAAAGCTAGTGAAAATTAAATAATCTTGCACAATTCTAGTCCTATGACTAATATCATTGCATGTATAATTTCTGAATTTTGATTTAGGTATCAGTTTGAAAAAATGCTGAGTCTTGGGAACATGTGAGTGACAGAGATATGCTCTCCTCTCTCTGGCTGAACAGCTTTAATCCCAGCTCAGATTCTCCCTTCCCCTTGCAAAACTTCATCTGGGCATGTTTATATACAAGCTGTTTTTTCCAGAGTGAAGAAGAGTGCTTTCCAAAAGGAGTCTTCCACACTTGTGGAGCAAAGCTCAGAACTTATGCATAACTGAAATCCATGCTTTGTAGTTGTGAATATATGCTCAATGAACTATGTTTAGTCTTCTATAAACACAACTCTTGGTGATTTATTTTGCCGTGGTTTAGGTTTTTGCCACTGGTCTTCAAGAATATTTTTTAAAATTCTTATTAAGGTATAACAAATCCCCRATTATTTTCCCACATTCCTAATGAAATAGATCATGTATTTTTTGGGGTTCATTGCATGACTGACTTAACTGTACAAATAGAAAAGAAAAAGAGCAATTGATTCTTCTGTGCATAGAATTGTACATGTTATGCAACCTTTATGAAAATATAAGGAAGATAATTACTATATACATTTACTCAGTGATAGATTAATGGTAAATATATTTCTCACAAAATAAAGGGCAGAGAAATCMAAAAAGCAAAACACCTGTAAGCATTCACTTCTAACTTAAGAAAAATGGAATTTTGTTACCTTCACAGATTTGGGCTCTTAGCTCTTCACTTATGTCCTCCAGAGCTGTGAAATCCTCAGCATAGAAGAGATGTTTATATGATGGCTCAGAAGCAATTTCCAGCAGTTCTTCCTCAATTGCTTTTCCTATTCCAATAGCATAGATGATTATACCTGGATTCAAAAGAAATTGCACATACTTATTACTTCAGCAGCACTAATTCTAAGTACTTGTGTGCCCGTGAAAGGAAAATCTGAGAGAAAGGGAGAGCACAAAAAATGTATATGCTGTGCAACTTCAAAATCAGTGAAGAGGCTTAATATGCTTTAATTGTAGGAGATTTGTAGAAGCTCACTTGTTGCTGTAATTCCACATATAGTTTTTGTGTTAAAGTGGAGTCCATGAGGTTCACAGGATCACAGGACAYCTGCCTGGCCACTACTGATAGTAAATGGCCCCAGAAAGAGCATTACAAACCAACCAAGAGAACTGCACAGTTCAGCTTCACAAGTGCACTGGAAGTCCCTGTTTTGTGTGTCTGTAGGGTGTGTGCAATGCAGCTGGTTACTGGATTGATAGGAAGACCTGTTAAATATTAATAAATGGGGCAGAATCCTGAAAAAAGGCAGTAATTTTTCAGAAAAATATTTCATCAWAATCCTCAGAGCACACTGAGACCAGATTCTTGCTCTCTATGCAGCACTAACCGGCTTGAAGGCCCACTTAGGAGGGTAAGAATGGGAACACAAACAATTTGTGGGGCTAGGAGAGAAAGAACCTTACAACAGGGGTGCCCAGGACAAGTATTTCACAGCAGAGATGCTAGGGAGAAGGTAAGTGAGGATGTGTAGTTTTAACTCTGAAAGCAGGGAAGGAGGAAGGGATTCAAAGCCCTCTCACCAGACAGATTTAAATAAGCAATAACTACAAAACATAGAGATCTTCAATAACTTCTTAGCAGTTTTTTTTTATGCTCATGAGCATATGATCTGATACATTTCTCTTTACATCAGTTCTGACTTAGAAAGTGTCCACAATTAGTACTGATTTTGTGATTCATAGTACAGCTATGAGCTTCACAGCTCTTTTATATGATTCAAGAGAAGAAGTTGCCTTCTCTGGCTGGTTTCAGATAAAACTTGGGATAAGGAAGTTTGATATCTTTATTTAACGTGGGTAATAACTACTGCACATTCACTGAATTATAACTTTCGCTGAAGAATCATTGGCCTGATATAATACCACAAAATAYGCATTTTCCAAGCTTTTAACTTTTAATGTATCTCCTTCCTTTTCATCATCAATCTGCCTACCATTACATTTTAGCCAGGAAAGGAAAATATTCACCAGTGGCTGATTCAATATAATGAATGCACCAGTCATGCTTAAATTTGTTGCTATTTAAAGACTTGGGGATATCAGTGATAAAGTATTCAAGGTCCATTTCTTATTGAGCRTTACTCCATTGGCTGCAATTACACAGGGGATGGTTTTGGCTTGTAACACTGCAGTGTCAGTAAGCTGCCCAGAGCTGAGGTTTCATTCAGCAACTAAGGAAGTTGGCTTATATTTATTTCCTTCTTCTGTAAATCCTCCATATAGTTTCACATATCTCACTAGTTAGTCTGCATATGTTTTTGTGTTTTTAAAAATTATTTTAGAACCCACTTTATCTTTCATTGTAATGGCAGTCTTGTTAGCACATGCCCTTCTCATATCCGTGGATGTTTTTCCCTTTTCTCCTTACAGAGAGGTATCAGTCCTGATCAATGCTCTACTAATCATGTATCAAATTCTGATTGCTATTTCAAATCAATAAAACAAGCATAGAAAAAATATGTGCAGAATCTTTTAAAAAAGTCTGGCTGTTTTCTTTGTGTTGTGGCCCATCAGCCATGGTTCTTAAAGAAGTTTCTCATAAAACAAAAAAAAGTTTTGCAAAGAAAAAAAGGGATCATTTCTTTTCTTGACAAGTTTTGAATACTTTCAGTTGACTCTGTTAAACAGATGAAAAGTTTCTTATTTCTGGTTGAGGATGGATTTCTGATCAAACATATTAGAAATTAAAAATCACCATTTTTCAGTCACATTTCAGCATATGGTAAGGCATGTAGAAACASAAAGACAGCACTGCAGTTATATTCTTTCAAAAAGAGTCAACTTCCTTCCAGAACACCATTATCACTATAGAATGGGTAAAAATAAAGAATATACCCTGTAAACAAAAACATAGCCAATTATTCCCACCATATTTCTCACAAGAATAAATTTCTGCATTTTAAAGACAGCTTGGGGTTTCTTTTACTGTTTTCTTAGAATTTTTGATGAAGTTCCCTATGTTCCCAGGTCTCTGTATCAAATGTCCACCCTTAGTGTATATGTTCAGAGCACTCAGGGCATGCAGGTGGGTGGCACTGCTACCTGTGGTGAGACGCTCCCCATGGGTCCTGCTCGGGGGATGATGCACATGCCTGGCAGCAAAGGCCCTTGTGAACACAAAGATCTGATCTTGTGAACACAAAGACCTGATGTGCAGGACAGTGGTCACTGTAGTGGCCATTGTAGRCTGCTGTGGCAAACATTCCCTTAATTAGCTCATACCGTAGCACATCCAAACTGGTACTACATCTTATTTCTAACAATATTTGCCTTTTAGAATGAGACATCAAAAGCATCTCTCCTTACCACGTTGCTTTGCTCTAGTAGCCCACTCAGAGACTTCATCCTGGGCCCGTCCATCCGTAAACACAATGGAGATTCGAGGGACATTTGCTGAAAATGGTCTTGCTCCTTCTGTTTCTGTGAAGCTTCTCTCAAACAGATGCCTCAGCGCCAGTCCTGTCATGGAACCTCGGCCCATGTATTTCATTTGTGACACAGCTTTCTTCATGTCTTTGGCTGAGCTGAACTGCCTTAATGTAAACTCTGTGCGAACCTCAGTGGAATACTGAAGCAAACCAACTCGAGCAGCTTTGGGTGAAATCTCAAGTGTATCCAAGATTCCTGTRACAAACTCTTTTACAATTTCAAAATTATCTTCTCCAAGACTTTTCGATCCATCAATCACGAAAACCARGTCAATTGGGCCTTCAGTGCATCCTGTGAAATGAGCAGCAGAGTGTTCAAGAAAAAATTCCATGAAACTGAGAAAGGGATCTAGATACCCTGGCACTGCATGAACTCAGAGATCATCTGAAGTACTCTGTTCCTGGCCTGTCCAACTTCACCAGTGTGTCTAAAGATGTTGTGTAAAGTCTGTATCAAAAGCTAAAAGTGTACCTATGACAGAGAATTTAACAAAACTATRATCACAGTGAACATTTACTGAGACATACTGCTTCGCAGAATACTTCAACTCTTAAAAATGCACCAACAATCAGTGAAGGTGAAGAGTGACTCTTAAGTGGAGAGAACTGAAGAACATAGCTAGCATGTAGACACACAACTGCCACCATTTTCTTCCGGGGATTAGCCAGTATGCTAACTTTGCATTTGTCAAATTTGTCAGCACTGAGAGACAAGGAAGAGAATCATTGAAGCTGCATTTTTGTTGCAGGAGTTATAAAACAGTTTTAAAATGATTTAATTATTGAAAGAATCAGAATTGCCTAGATAAGGGTTTTTTTGCTTGTAACTGTCTAAAAAYGTTGTGATTAGAAGACTTATATACTGCTGCAATTAACCTTTTCTACCCATTAAAGCTGGGARTTTGTCAGAAGACAGGAAAATTTGTAACATTTGTAGTTCCCATACTTTTTGGCAAGCACACAAGCCAAAAAGCAGTTTCTAGTCCCTGGGCATCCATAATGAGGTCAGGGAATTTAGGGACTGGAGAATGTCTTCCAAGCTGCAGACTGCTGCCAGGTGGGTTTTTTGTTTGTTTGTTTGTTTGTTTTTAATTCTGGAAAGGAATTGCCTTCAGCAGGCAGAGATGGGTGTGCTTTGTGCAAAGGCTAGCTGCAAAGATGCTCAGCATTTACTGGATCAATGTAACTTCCAGGGAGAATTTGCTGTACTAARGAATAGAAGATTTGCTTAGTCTGGACCAAATAAACTTTGACCTCCACTCATCTCTGGACTTTGTACAAGAAGAATGCAGCAAGCACTACACAAAAGAGACTTCTGCAGCAGAAATTACTCTGACTGYAGAAATTACTGAAGATGTTTGTTACCCAGTCAATGTACGAATAAGGAATTTTCAGCTTTAAAGCTTGGACACTTCTTTTTAGAAAATACCTATTTTAAAACTGCTCAAGAATTCCTTTCTGCAGTCATGTGAGAAAAAGATACCTCACMTGTACTAAGGTAATGAAAATGCAAYGAATGGGAATATCAGAACCCCCTCAAAACTACTGCGTAAGTCAAGAACTGGCAGCAGTTCCATTTGGTGCATGGTGCTACTTAGGACTGAGAACAGCCAGAATTTGTTACCGTTATTTTGGTAATCATTTTCTCCTCAACTAAGGCATCCATTTTTGGCAGAATAAATGCTTTTACTGAGTTCCAGTAGAATTTGTCCTCCAAGTATTAAGAGATGATGAGATAAATGCATGTCATGGTGGAAGATAAACAAATAGAATTAATGGTATTTTAAACTTTAGTATACAAACATAAAAGATAAAAGATCCACAGTGTATGAATTTGATTAAAAYGCACATTCTTTGATAATAAGATTCCCCTTTGGCTTTTTCCTGATGTTTCAAAAGAGTTATTATCGTACTCAATGCTATATCTAAACAACTGTTCCAATTMGATAGATTTTTGCTTAGGAAAGCATCAAGTTAGTTGTTTGAGACATTTTCTGCCACACACATATAYTCAAAGCTTTCAAATATTATATAATGCTTGAAATGAGAAGTTTTGGCAGTGTTCAAAGGCAAACTGGATGGGGTTTGGAGACACCTGGTCTAATAAAAGGTGTCCCTGCCCACAGCAGRGGGCTGGAACTAGATCATCTTTAGTAAGGTTCCTTCCAACACAGAGTATTCTATGAGTCTATAACTTTTTGAAGTAAGTCAATCAGTTTTAGAAATCAAAGAAATAAATGCTTTCCAAATAAAATKTACTTACTTCTGCATGTTTTCTGGTCCTCTTTTAGTACATATCCCTCCTGGCATTTGCAGATATAGGAATCGCCATTATTAACACAAGCATATTCACAACCATGGTCAACTGATTTGCAGACATCTTTATCTAGGAAAAATTGAAGTATTTATCTGTATTCTATTTAACATTTTATAAATTCAAAGACTCCAGACATGATATCTGAAGAACATATGACAAAGCAGTATAGCATCTTTGCTCATTTATGTAGCAATGCCAGAGAAGAGTGGCTGACAGACATAATGATTTACTTACTTTGACATGTTTTCCCATCTTGTYGCAGGACAAAGCCCTCATGGCACTGACAGCTGTATGAGTTGTTATTACTAATGCACACATGTTCACAGCCATGGTCAATGGATTTACACAGGTCTTTATCTGAGAATTGTTAAGAGAATCCCCTTATTAGACYATTTTTCAAATACAAAACTGTCATGAACAAGCTATGAGTGAAATTAAGTCCATTATTTCCTTTAAGACTGAGAAATACATTCCCCATAAAAGTTTCAGCTACTCACTCCTGCATGTTTTCCTGTCTCGCCTCAATATAAATCCCTTGTGACACTGACACATGTATGAATCGCCAGTTGGAACACAGACATGTTCACAACCATGGGTGACTGTTTTGCAGACATTTTTACCTTGGAATAATGAAAATTGTATTTAGCACAGTTAACTAAGTAAATAACTTTCACAAAATATAMGCATTTTGGYAATMATTTTCYATGAAGGAACYCACTTAYATGAAGCTGATTCTATAGTAGACAWATAACACACTACTTTTGCATAGTGTGTTTCATTAACAGATAATGAAGTACAAAACAAAGATTAAATAACTTACTCCTGCAAGTTTTTCCATCTTCCCTCAGGATGAAGTCTTCATGACACTTGCAGACATAGGAATCATCCGTATTAATACAAACATGTTCACAGCCATGGTCAACTGTGTTGCAAACATCTTTATCTGAGAAGAGTGGATGGGCTTTGTGAGGTGAGGCTTGTTAGGGAGAGGTGGTATCTTTTTTTAACCAGCCCAAATAGMTGGAAATCACAAACATACACAAGTGCAAACACTCACACCCAAAACACTTGAAAGCCTCAAATAAAAACATACTTTTATAGCTCAGGCTACTCACATCTACATGTCTTTCCATCCTCCTTCAGTATGAATTTTTCATGACACTGGCAGATGTAGGAATCTTCAGTATTCACACAAACTTGTTCACAGCCATGGTCAACTGAGTTGCAAACATCTTTGTCTGCAAACAGGAGAGTTGGTAGTCAGCATACATCAGCAGAGGCCTTCATGATTATATGTGTAATTAATCCAGTTAGCTTCTCATGCTACTTACTTCTGCAGGTTTTCCCATCTTCTCTCAGGAGGAACCCATCATGGCATTTGCAGGTATATGAATCACCAGAATTAACACAAACATGTTCACAGCCGTGGTTGACTGATTTGCAAAGATCTTTATCTGAAAACAGATGACAGCTTTTGCTGGTTAGCACATTTCTCCACAAGCATGAGCTGCAGATAAARAGTATGTTGATAAATATCAGACTACTTACTTCTGCATGTTTTTCCATCTTCTCTTAGCAGGAATCCCTCCTGGCACTTACAAACAAATGAATCACCGGCACTAGCACACACATGTTCACAGCCATGGTTGACTGATTTGCAAATATCCTTGCCTGGGAATAGTTAGATAATTTTTAATGTGGCTTGTTAAACTTTTTTTTTTTTTTATAAATACAAAGTGGGGGTGGTAATGCCATGAGCAAAAAAAAGATGTAAGCTTGCAAACTGAAAGCAAATCTCCAGCTAGTTAAATGATGGATATTTTAGCTTACATTGAGTATGAATTCTTTACCATCTGACCAGAACTTCATGGTTTGGATGGCCTTCAACTGAAAAGAAACCTTATTTTAGGATTAATCTGACTGGATTAAGGAAGAGGAGGACTTYACATTAAGTGCACTAAGACTGAAAGGAGGGAATAATTTGGTAAAGTCATTTAACACAAATTCATGCTGGTGAAAACAAAACTAAGGAAAACACCACAGGACATGATTTAACAATAATTATTTAACATCCTTATTTTAGTGCCAAGAGTATGCATTAACTAAACACAAAAGAATAAGAACTACTCATTTATGACAATAAATAGAATCTGACTGGATTGCTGAAAATTGATGGGAGGACTTGTATTACTGCTATGTGAAACCAGTTGGTTAGAACCTCTTCAAACAGGATAGATGGTGACACAGTACAGAAGAAAGTGGAGCCATCTGTTGGCACTCTCTTCTTCATTGCAACACAAAAAATTATTCTTGGTTTCTAATGGAGAACTACCTTTACACAAAARCAATCCTGGCAGCCAAGTTCAAATAGACTCTTTGGGTCTGTGTTTTTACAAGAACTTCAGTCTGAGCTAAATTTCGTGGGGGTCTCATGCTGGTAAAACAAAAATTCCAAAAACYACTACATAAGACAATCTTCTAACTCAATAATAATTATATTTAAGGCATGGAAATCTAAACTAGATCTCGTCATAGTGGATAAAGAGAAATTATAATGCAAGTAAAAACTAGCATCTGCTTATACACCACAGTGCACAACTCGGACACATTTGTTGTTTATAAACAGAACCAAATACAAACTGGCAGCAGATATTAATTCAGAAGGATGAATTTTACATAGCTGAAAGCAAATATGAGGCAGACTGTTTTGGGATGTATTGGGGAAAACAATAATAGTAATAAAAAAGTCAATTATTGCACTATTCAAGGTTCTTTTACTAGACACCCCCAAATGCAGTCTCACCAGATAAAAAGAATGCCAGAATTAAAAAATTGAAGTTGAAAATAGCTATAAGATTTGACTAATGACTGAAAGAAAGGAACACTCAGTATTTACTGTATGTGAAAATATCAGGAATTTGAAAACTGAAATAATAAGAGAAAGGACAAAGGGGAGCACAGACAACCAAATAATGGGTAGTATGAGCACATTGTTTAAATACTACTAGGAACCAAAAGCATTCTAACAATGTATTATTAATTAATAGATAGAAATGTAGAATTGCCAATTTTAATGCAGAAATATAAAAAAAAAATAGAGTATTCAGGTCTGAATTTATGAAATAGATTACTGATGATCTTGTTGGAGTGAAGAGTTTCTCACTGTGTGAAGTAGGTCACACAGCACCTACTGAACACACACACACATTTTTGAATCACTAACTCCAGATAACTTGCAGCAAAGAGCTGTACAAGAGAGTAGATATTCTGAAGAATATCCTGGGTGCTTAGTGTTAATTTTCAGTAACTCATGGAACTCTGAGGAAGCCCCAAAACACTGAGCTGTCTCCATTCCCCACGTACGCACACACAGTGAAAAAAGTACTATGGTTCCATTGTTTAAAAAGATGAGTAGTTCAGTGTAAGCCTGTCAGCTTGACATTGATCTGAATAMAAATAATGCAATAGATTATGTGGAACTTGAGTCAGGGTAAAATCAAAGAAAGAGGATTAATATCAATCAACTTGGTGTTATGGAAAGATAAATCCTGAAAAAACTAAATAAATACCTATCTTAATTGATGATAAAGTTGTTTCATAAAGCTCAGGCTGTTCATACAATTGAGCATTCAGAAAGGCAGCAGTTTTGGTATTTATTTTGTTTAAGGAAACAGACTACAGAATCAACATTATATGGATTAACACTGGCTGGAATGGTCTTCAAAACCAATTGTAAACAAGCGACTATCAAGTAGCTGTCTTTCTAAGAATTTGCCCTGCTCCTCTACTACATAATATTTTTATGGACAGCCCAGAATAAAATGCAAAATAATCACTGACAAAGTTTGTGGATTAGTCCACTTTTGAGAYAATGGCAAATAAGTATAAAGCAGCTGCTGATACAGTAACACAAATCTTTTTGAATAACAGCAGCTCATATATGTTTTAAAATAGCCAGGACTAAGTTTATGCATTTAGAAACAAAGAATGAAGGCTGCACTTACAGGACATGGGACACYTGTATGACTGAGAATCTTAAAGAACTTTTGATCATGGTAGATAACTAATTGAACAGGAGTGCTAGCAGCATGTTTTGGCCAGAGATTAACACTATCTTTTGCTTAAAAAAGCCAAAAAAAAAAAAACCCGCTAGATTAAACAAAAGATAAATTATTTTTTAAAAAAAGTAGATTGAAATAAGAATTAGATGGGTTATTGTTCCTCTGCCCTATTTCCTGCTGTATCTCCTRTTAGAAGGCTTTCTTCCACAGTGGTGCACCCACAAGGATGCTGATGAATAGCAGAGGTTTTAGGGCAGCAAGAAGAGAGTTACAAAATATTAGGAAACATAAAAAGCCTGAAGGAGTTTCCATTTGCTTATCATTTGCAAAAGAACATGCTAATAGGTCAAGGAACAAGTTAAGCCATGATCTCAGGAATATACACAGAAGAACACATTGGCAATTAGAACTTAAGCCCATTGTAGTAAAATGCAACAACATTCTATGCTCAAGATTGAAATTCAATATASTTACTTTGGAAATGAAGTTCACATTTAAAAAATTGCCATCAAAAATTGGTTGATTTTTCTGAAATGTAGCTTTAGTTCAAACAATACTTAATTCATACAGATCTTACGAATTATAGAGAAAAAAATTCCATTCTGGCCACTATAAATCAATGAATAACATGCTAACAAAATGAAAATTAAATTTCTTCTTTTATTAATAAACTRCTTACTTCGGCATGTTTTCCCATCTTGCCTTAGTACAAATCCATCATGGCATTGGCAAGCGTATGAATCATCATTATTGACACATAAATGTTCACAGCCATGGCTGACTGATTTGCAGATGTCYTTATCTGGAAATAGTTTAAATTTTATTTACTACAGTTTCATGAATAAGAACAYTTCCAAAACTTTAAAGTCTAACAGCAGTAATCTTAAAGYAAATAAAGAATATTTTCTCTTTTTTGTCAGGCAAAATCTCCTATAAAAAGAACTGACTCAAAAAAAWGTTTCTTCAGTAGATGTCTGAGTCCAAAAAGATAGCAACATAAAAAAACTTACTTTTACATGTTTTCTTATCRTCCCTCAACACAAAACCCTCGTAGCACTGGCAAATGTATGAGCTATCAGTATTCACACAAATATGCTCACAACCATGGTCAACAGAATTGCAAACATCTTTATCTGTTAAAAAAATAAGGTTGCCATATTTAAAATACATCTACAAATGTGCAGATTATAAAGAAAATCGACTAAAGATAAGGATACTTACTTCTACATGTTCTTCCATCTTCCCTTAGAGCAAATCCCTCATAACAYTGGCAGATGTAGGACTCATCAGCATTAACRCAAACATGTTCACAGCCATGGTGAACTGAACTGCAAAGGTCTTTATCTAAGAATAGTTATATTTGATTAAAGCACATCTACAGCAAATGTATCATGCAGGGAGAAGTAATAGCTTTCATTAGGTCTGCTGATATTACTGGAATAAATAGGTAAAATTTTAGGCAGTAAACTCTTGGTACCTGAAAAGTTTTTAGTATTTTCTGTTTCCAGTCTGTCAGTTGATCTATTAAAAGACAGTATTTTTGTCCACAGAGTCTCTTACTAGCATTTGGTAGGTCTAAATGTGTAAATATATAAACACTACTCCTATATTATACATATGAACACTACTCCTTTATCAYGACAGTAAACTTGTATTTGTTAGAATGCTTCTCAGATCTACATGCTGTAAATAAAATTCTGAGTAATTCTCAGAATACTTACTTCTGCATGTTTTCCCATCTTCKCTCAGCAGAAAACCCTCATGACACTTGCAAACATACGAGTCATCCTTGTTAACGCAAATATGCTCACAGCCATGGCTGACTGATTTGCAGATGTCCTGTCCTGGGAATGATTGATACAAATGTAGGTTTTGAATGAAAACATGTTAAAAGAAATATAGCTATCAAGAGGAATTGTGTTGCTTCTTTTCCAGCAAGAAGTGAAAAATAACCCTGTCTTTCCTTGCCTGGTGTACATGAAAAAGTGTTCAATAGATGCCAGTCACTCACTTCTGCATGACTTGCCATCTTCTCTCAGTATGAATCCCTCACGACACTTGCAGATGTAGGAATTGTCATCATTAACACAAATATGCTCACACCCATGGTTGACTGATTTGCAGACATTTTTACCTTGGAAGAATTTAATATATAAAAAATTTTGTTAGTTAAGGGCAGTATGTTCAAAGTTGACTTGCTTTTAATGTGCCCTAACTTTTTGAGAGAGGCAGAATTTGTCTCTGTTTGCACAGAATGACAAAAGAGGATGATGTTATGAAACACCAGATAAGGGGTTTTTCAGTCATCATGGTAATATCTGGATGCCTTTAATTTTTTTTTCTGTAAACGTTTTTTAACAGCAGACATTGTTGTTGAATATAATGGGGATTGCAGTTAAAATACTGAATGCCTGGAGTTTTTCAGACTTCTCCATGATTCTTCTTTGATCAATTACTAATTTGTGCTACAAAAGTTGAGAAAAATTTGCTGTTAGTTTTTTTTGTTGATATCTGTCACTCATCACAATTGTGTAATGCAGTCAAATTTGTAATACAATTAYATCTCTTTTGCAATCATCCTTATCCTATGCTGGGCAAAGTGAACTTTCCATTAATAATGTTGCAAGCYTCATGCTGGGTAAGACTTTAGAAACAKTATATATTTTTGCCTTGAAATTTTAGAAGAAAATTACAATTGTCCCAGCCCTGGATAGTTTTGGATCCAGAACTGTCCAATTTCAGGGCTACTTTTTAAAGGGCACATACATTTAGGGTGTGATTCAGGTGCCTAAAAGTATGCATTCAGTACCACTTTAGATGCCTTAGCATATACAAGATATCAGAATACTGCTGGCAAATATGACACCAAAGGGGAAATATGACCTCTTGTACTCCTTGAACATTTAATATTACATTGGACTGCAACATTTAGGCAACCCAATCCTACCTTACAGATTTCCTCTATGTATATAATATTAGACTCTGAGTTGCTGAATAATAACTTACGTTTACATGTTTTCCCATCGTTACGAAGTCTGTATCCTTCAAAACACTGACAAGTATAAGATCTGTCRCCATTTACACACAGATGTTCACAGCCATGATCATTTAGAACACAGTGGTCAACTCCTGYAGGAGCAATCAAAATTATTTAAAAATTTAACCAATAATGACTCAATTATTTTTCATCTCTAGTATTTGCCTTCTATATAAGCATGTAAATATAAATACATTGAAATGCTTAAACAGTATTTCAGCCTCTCATCTGATAACATATATTTAATTTCGGTAAAATATAAGAGAGCCTAGTGATGTATTTTTCATTGTTTGCTTTAAGTAGAATTGAGAAATCATACTTTTCTGTGCTTAACATAGCTAAACAGAATCCATGTCTCAGTTACTTAATAAGTGGATTAAAACTAAACAAAATACTTTGGCAATGATTTTATATAAGACACTGGCAAAGACGTAAAGGCTACCTTGTGAACATTCTTTAAATAGTCTCTAAATGGCCTGAAGTGAAGGTGCAGTCCCCAGAACTCACTTGTGGACCTGACCCAGTTCCTGTGGCAGCAAGAAGAAAACCTCTCAGATGTCAGTGGGATTTGGCTTGGCCTACTTAAGCTTTTACAAAGAATTGCAGATGACAAGTACTGTCAAATACGGTCCACTTTTCATCTCAAATTTCCCAAGTGTTTCTGTTCTGTAATATAAAGACATTGAGCTCCTGGGACGTTGCAAGCAGCACTTGCTACTGTCTGTTGGCTACACACACTTACTTTCTTGGCTACACACACTTACTTTCTTCGTAACTAGTTGTCAGAGTACAGATTTGGTTACCATTCACTTGTTCCCATGGCTTTCTCAAGATACTTGAGCCAGTGTATATGATACCAGAATATCCCAGGTATTTTCTTACTAGGAGTGGTAYAGGTTCAGTATTAATCCCTTCAGCTCAACTGCTTACTCAGGAAATTGCCTTGTGCCAAAATGATCTTCATGGTAGCCTAAAAATGTTCACGASGTTTCAACAACTCATCTAGAGCTCAGGAATAGGACAAATCTTTCCTAAATATATATGAGGAGAGGGCTATGAGAAGAGGAGATATTGAAAACAGCTCAGTTTCATTGCACACAGCACCATTTTCATAGAAYCATGGAATATCCTGAGTTGGAAGGGACTCACAGGACCATTCAAAGTCCTACTCCTGGCCTTCCACAGGACAGCCCCAAAACTCACACCATGTGCCTGAGAATGATGTCCAAATGCTTCTTGAACTCTGCTGCTGATAGTTTTCCAAGTACTGCCTGGAGGAAAATAACTCAGGAATAAAAAATCATCTCTTGTTACTAAAAAGGAAAAGGGATTTTCCATTTGCAAGTTGATAAAACTCCATCATTTGGCTGTTTCTAAATTTTCAGTGGTACTACAKGAAAATATCCAAATAAATTGTTTTTAGTATACCCTACTATTKTTACATGTACACTGATTATACTTTCGTGTTACTGTCTGCCCCTTTCTAGAGAGCTGCAGTGGCAGASAGAAGCAAAGTCTGTCAGTATGAAMTGACAGACTTAAAGGTTAATATGGAGGCAAACACAAGGATAAATATAAAGTCAAACTGCCTTTGCTGATTTGCCTCACTTCTTTCTAGACAATTTTTGTGACCGAGGACTTGCAGTTTGACTTCTCTTAAAACCGTGCTGTCTGAGAGCAAGAAAAAGGGTGAACTCAAGAGCTGCTCTAATACTCTATAAGCTTGAAAAATAATGTACCTCCAAAATCTGTGGAAAAAGTGGACAGAACACTCTCACCAAAGAGGTCTGTGAAAAGTCAACAGATAAAATGCATTCCCATTCTTCTTTTTCAGGATCTTTCAATACATTATTTTGCCAATGAAGGAAGCAATCCAATTCTTTGTGAAATTGTATCAATTAGATTTATAAAAAGCACAGAGCTGTCAGGACAACTTCTGTTCACTTACTAAGGGTTCCCATGCTAAATGTAAAGCTTAGTGTGGGACTCTCAGTTCTCCACCTCCCCAGGTAGGGTGGTGCAGTTTSTCTGGGGGACACTGCTGTCAGATGACCTGTCAGACACATTTATCACATGACTGAAAAACTCTCCTCAACACCTGGGGATRAATAGGCCTCCCAGAACTTTTCTGAATATGTGAGGACTAACTGTTACCTTGACAAGTATTCTTCCCTAAATACTTTTTCTGTTTCTGCTTTCAAATTATTATTAAAGTATTACTGAAATAGAGACTGCAAGAATAAATTGAAGGCAAGTCCTCTTCCCTGCATGAAAACAGAAACCTTTCCCAAGGGGACTGAAATGAAGGATGTTCTTGCAAGACTTACGTGTGCAGGTTTTTAGATCCTCATTGATGACAAATCCTTCAGAGCACTGACAGACATATGAGTCACCTGTATTTAGGCACAGTTGCTCGCAGCCATGATTGCTTTCAGCACAGTGGTCCACTCCTATTGATTTGTGTTAAYGATTGAAGAAATCACATTGGTGTCTTAGATACATAAACTATGACACTTGTAATTAGTACATGAAGCCTTTGCAGAGCAAGGGTAAAAGATCAGTACAGCTTCTTACTTATGCAAATATCCCCACCTACTTGAGTAATCTGAGTCAATTAACAACACCTAAGTGAAATTAATACAACAACCCCACTTGGCAGATAACACAATTGGTGAAATGCAGAACTCATTTACCAAAAATCACAATGTGATTGAACTAACACACACAAAGCGGAGAGAAGGGAGCAYCCTGAAACCCAGTCTGGTCTTACCCACAGAATCATGCTTTCCTTCTTTAAAAAGCAAGATTCTCTCTTTTGTTCACCAATAAATTTTCTCAGCAAATATGAGTATTAGTAATTTTTGAAACAGAAATTATGGCTTTCAGATTGTTTCCTAAAGATTAAATCATTTTTTCACCTGGATGAGAAATCACCAATTTAAAAGTTTAACCTGCCAAAGGGTTCAAGCAGGTAAAGCCCAGTAGGGGACAGATAGAAATTATGAGTGTGAGAGTATCTTAACATGTTCCATTTCTTTGATTTTCTTATTCCTATTCCAAGTAAGATAAAATGGAACATGCCTTTTAAGTCTTGTGGGCAACTAGTCGTGAAAGATGAAAGGTGGGGGAAGGGAGAGCAGTGTGAACTGCGTTTAAAAAATATATTCTCTCATAGTGGATAGCAAAACTGCAGGGTAAAATATGTGCACTTGCATATGTACTTAGTAATTTGCTTACTCTGCAAGTACAGAAAAAGGATATTTTAGGAAAAAAGCTTTGAGCTTCCTTCCACAGTATTTTACTGCTGGTTTTTTAATGGATATTATTCGTTATATAGGCCCAAATCATTATAGTTTAAATTGATCAAAAATAGTGGAATTCCCTCAGACACAAACACAGTCTCATATGTCTGCATCTGCAAATGATTTACAGATGTGAACAGACATGTCTGCAGCAATTTGTTTATCTTAAAAAAATCTGTACTTAATGTTAAATCACTTATTCTAAATATTTCTGTTTATTGGTTTATTTAACTAAGCAACGAGTTTGCAGTAATTGGTCCAGATTTGCCATCATACATAGAAAGACAACGTAGGCTTGAACAAATGAAGYTGAGGTGTCAGTTTTTACTAGCTAAAGCAAGTTCCAGCTGGAACTTTCTCCTTTTKCCAAGTTCACATCATCATGAAGAGGCTTGTGTAACCTCTCAGAGCRYACAAAAAAWTTGGGAAAAAAAAAGAAAATACCCGTATTCTTTGTGAAAAATTGCATCTGTTTGGCTCCATCTCTTCAATACAAACACCCACACCAACATGAATTTTTAACATTTAAATACTTGGGTCTCTCATGCAGAATTTTGTAACACACTCTTTCAAAGATTACAGTAATCATGAAGATGCTAACTACCAGGATATAGAAATCACTATAACTGTAAATTTGGTGATCATATGTGCTTTATTACACATGTGAAAAAAAAAAATGTAAGCAGGGGAAGAGACTGGGGAGGGCTCACTGATTTAAAAAAAAAAAAGGAATGTCTTAGGATATATAAACTTTTAATATTCAACTTCAGATAGTCTAAAACTATAATTGTTCAAAAGTTGCAATACATCCAAGTTACCCTAAATATGGATTTATCRCTGTTAATTTAAACAGAGTTATTCYCTRTCTTATCAACTCTTTTTAAAATTTCAGTAACTGAGTATTCCTTTGGGAAAGTATGTCATAAGCACATCAGGGAAAAATGCTGCTGGTGTTTTAGGTGATATGCAAAATGGTTCTCTGCAATAAAACTGTCTTCTGAAAACTGGAAGATGTCAAGTGGTCAATTCTGTTGGGTTTCTCTGGRGCAACACCGATCCTTTGTTTAGCAGTATTCTTATAAAAAGAAGACATTTTATTAAATGGATCACTGAAGGTGTAAACACGCAGAAGAGACATCTCCACACATCACCATAGAGCAGTATCAGGTGTACTGCAGGTTACACAGCCCATAGCAATGTTACAGATGTTCAGCAACAAACACTGCCTTTGTGTTAGAGCCTTTGTGTGAAATGGCTGAATACGTTTTCCCAGTTATTTGGAGAAAATTATGCTTTAGTTCTCYATTGGATCAGGGATCTCACTATTGCATTACTTCACTAGGCCTGGCTCCTGGTGGATTTTGCAGTAACAAAGTTTTGCATGACTCAGAAGCATCTCAAAAAGGACCCCAGAGTGTTTTCTCACTCTGTTCACACCTAGCCCTTGCAGTAAACTAGTCACTGAAGTTAATGAGACACATTCATTGCTGCATGTATTGCCATGGTGCTGTTGGGTGTATCCAGGATGACATTTGCTCACAAATGACTCTTCCATGTTAACACATTCATGTTCACAGTCATGCTGACTTAAAGCACAGAAGTTTACTTCTRTGGTGAGAAAAACAGTGAAAAATTGAAGCCAGCCATAAGGGTTTCTGAGGTAAAATGGCTTAGAAAAACTCACTTTTCTTAAACAATACTGGATTCTGCACTTTGGACACCTACTGAAGTTGGCAGTGCGCTGAGGATCTAAGAGCAGACTGCAAACACTCAGCTATGTAAGGCTTCCCTTTGACCCCACAGATCTCCTCCCATAGTCATCAGAAATCATGTGTGGTGTGAGGGAGGAATGCCTGGTGCTTGTCACTCCTCATCTGTGGTCCCTGTTTTCTAAAAAGGGCATATATGCAAACACTCTGCTTTACTTTACAAGCTTAACTAACATAACCCTTGTTATAACAAGATTTGGAATAGGAGCTTAATCTGGAAACATCACCAGATTTGCAGCCAAATCCAAAGCCCCCCAAAGAAAAATACTCCAAATGGGAATTACAATTTACTTTTAATTTGCAATTACATCCTTGGCAATAAATTTGCAATTACATCCTTGGCAATAAATATTTCACACAATGCTGTCCTTCTACTCATCAAGACTATCGAATCTATTAAACCCTAAATGTATTAAACTACCATAGAGATGATAAAAAGCAGAATAGCATGGATTGCTACAAAAATAGCACTGTGCAGACAAAAAAGTATCCTTAAGACTGAACAAAAATAGTTTCAAAACCAGTGTCTAGAGTGTTTATGAGTGTCTATAAATACAAATAGGTTGCTCCAAACAAGCTTATTATTCGTAAAATATCAGCAGTACAGTTTTCTCCCCCGAAACAGCTGAGACACAAGATCAGGCTGCCTCATTTTGTTGAATATTTCTCCCATTTGTTGAATAATTCTCCCTAAACTTTAACATATTACATTAAAATTCTGCTGGGATTCCAGGCCCCCACTTAAGAAAAGCTGTAACAYGAAGTCTTTTCAAAGTAAATAGCATGTGTGATTGGCTTATAACACTGGAACTGCTCATGCTGTTTTTACAATTTTTTTAGGAAAATGAGGGGTTTCGCGTGTGACTTTATGTTAATTTTGACAGCTGTGTTGCCTGTTATATACATTCCTAAGCTGATGAAATATATATGTCTTTGGGAAAAACAATTGAGAAAAAGGAGGTGATTTTTTTTTTATTTAAAAGCTGCTTCTGTCTCTAAAAACCAAGGCCAGAAAATTTGTATAGAATTCGTAAATATATATATATGTATATATTATAATATATAAATATATTGTATATATTTATATATAATACTATATATTATATATATTTATATAACTATATTATATATATTTATCTATAATATATATTATATTTCTATAAATATATATCATTTCTATATTCAGAAAATATGTAAGGAACTTATTTAAGTCACTTTGGTTCTGTATTAATCCTCAAATTTCTATAAAAGTCCTCAGAAAATGTCTAATATACAAAGTAAYCTATAAAACAGCAAAATGTATATTGTCCCAGCATGATTCATTCAGTTAAAATCCAAGTTTACAAAGAAATGTTTGTTTCAACATTAGTTACAGAGAAAACTTCCATCCTTTCAGAAGGGAAACAATTCACTGCAGGTTCAAGAAATAAAAGCAGATGAACTTTATTATGTCCAAAGAATTACTCACTTTTGCATGTTTTCTTATCTGGATTAAGTCTAAACCCTTCTTGGCAACGACAAAAATAGGAATCATCGGTATTAACACATTCCTGTTCGCAACCATGGTCCTGAAGAGAACAATAGTCTGGTCCTAAATGGAAAAAAATGTTTGTGTCAGTGAGCAACRTAATTTCTCAGAAATAAAYTTGGTAAAAATGAGTTATTTTRTTTTYTTTTTCTTAGCCTTKATTTTTTTCTTAGGCACCATTTTGGTGTTTTACCATATTGCTTCAAATCATGAAAATAAAAGGTTTCCTTTTTTCTAAATATCTGCTATACTGAGGTATATATCTGCTATATGAGGTACACCTGACATATACTTCAAAGAATTACCTAAGGACAGAATTAGTTCMTGCTGCAGAGAAGTTAGAATCTTAAATATTTCTTAACATTTTGCAGCTAAGCTTTATAGACTGCCTCATCAAAACTGCCTCTTCATTTCACTCAGAGCATGTAAGACATGATCTGTAATGAACACACAAAGATGATTTTGAATGTTGCTCGTTAGATCACAGCAGGACAACCAGGTCATCAGGAGTGTGAATGTTTTTAACAGCTCTGTGTCCTTGCTTCATGGTTCTTCCATTTAAAATGCCCATGGAATAGAAGATGAACAGCCTAGAAAAAGTTGCCTCTTGTGGATAAAGCACCTTTAGAAAGGAAAGCAATAGTACACTGAGCACTGAGGTATTTCCCACAAAGTGTTTATCATGATTCATGAAATCAAAGAACCTGACATTCACTTAGTTGCAATGTCGGCCCATCACTTAGTTTTGTGTCACTGTACTTAATTTATATTAGCAAAAAATTTTCTTAACCCCTCAACACTGCTAAAAATAGATAAACAAGTCACAAATTAAGTAAATATCTCTTCAAAAAAATCCAAGCACTTTTGAACAGCTCATTATACAACCTGAAAATGGAGGGAGTTTTATTATTCCCAAAAGTTAATTAATTTTTATTCSCAGAGGTGATTTGCTTCCTGAAGCATGGACAGTTCTCTCCTTAGATTTTTGGCAGGTTAATGGAATCGAGTCTCTATATATGATGAAAGCCCTTAGCGATAATAAACCATCTATATTTTCAGAATAAACAAAGTGGAATGTGACTTTCTAAGAAAATTTGGAAGTAGTATAATATATGAACACTTGTTCATCTATTCATTGACATTAATAACATTAACTTTTTTTTACCAAAAAAGGTTTTTTTGACAGCATGTGCACATACACATATATATAACATGGAGATATTTTATCTGTTTACTAAAATGAAAATTAGAAAATGTAGTTTGTTCAAGAGCGCACTAAAGAGACAGAACCCATAAAGCCATGTGTGTGCACAAGAGAAATAGAGCTGTGAGCCTTCTGGACCTACTCACTGCTGGGATGCATTTACCTGCTCAAATCCTTGTTCACTCAAGTGTGCAGGACAAATTTTCCTCATTAAATGATTCTAAAGATGACCACACAAGTTGAAAAGCATGTATCTTTGTTGAAACCTTGAGGCTATTCTGTTTGGGACACTGAAAACACACWTCACAGGGCTTCATTAACACAGCCCAGATTAAGGATATTAACAGAACCTTGCACCACTACAAATTATGTGAGCCCATGCGGAACTCAAACGTGCCTCTTGTAAAGAACACTTGAGGCTCAGCAGTCCCCAGTACAAGCAGAAGCTGAGACAATCACGAGATCTCGGGAGTGGGCGCCTCAGGCCTGCCTGCTGATGCAGAGAGCTGCTCTGGCACGGGGCTGAGTCTTGACTAGCTGGCCATCATCCCTGAGACTCAGTACTTGAGCCAAATATGTAGAAATTTATGTTACAAGTTTTATAGTCACAAACATTTTAAATCCARTGATCTGTAGTTTGTTTGTTCACATTGTTTATCTGGACTCAAAGGCAGAGTGATTCATAACATATGGAAATTAGGGAACACTTTTGCTCTGAAGAGCTCTCATGCTGTCTTGACTTTCACAGCATTAAGAGCTACACAGTTCTTTCATTCATGCTTTAATTTACCAGTAAGGCTCAGAAGGTATCAAGTGTAAGGAAAAATGCCTTAGTAAGTTTTGGCTTGTGTTTATTTATTGCTAATGTATAGKCTCAAGCAACACACAGTAGACAGAGATAGGGCAAGCATGAAATACTTTCCYAGAACACCCTCTCAGATGTCAGCATTCTGTGGATCACCAATTTAAACATCTTAAAATAATGCACACAGTTAGGCCATAAACTAAAAATCAGCCAAGGCATAGGAAATGTTTATTTTAAGGACTTATTTTGGTTCAAACTTCTTAAAATTCACATTCTTAAATCAAAGAAATTAACAAAAATTTGTGCTTGGACAGTGGAAAGCACTTTCACTAAAGTAAGATTTCAAATATATATGGATGTGGAAGTATACGTGGAAGCCAGCTCTTAGCTGACAGATACTTGACAAATGGGAATGTTAATACMATCTACAAACAATGTTAACCATTACAAACCATACTCTGGGCCTTGGGGAAGCAGAAATTTCATCTCCCCTGAAATGAAACTCTGACCATCTAAAAATTATGTGTCCAGTCTGGCAAGTCATCCAACCCCTGGGATATTCAAGGAAAATACAGAAACTTCCATAACCTTTGGTCAGAACGGGGAGCAAYTGCCTTTGAGAAGTGTGTGTCTCTTTCCCTTGATCATAAGAACACACGTACAGCCAGTATTACACATTCGCTTCCTAAATGTTAAATTTAGGTGAAATAGATACCAAGTATAATACACAATATAGATACAGTCTACAGGCTAACCAAGTCTCCATTAGAAAGACTGAAATGCCTCTAAGGCTGTGACAGCAGAGAAATGCATTGCTATATTGGTGCATTTTTTGAGAAATAATGTTTGAACATATTATTCAATGATATGGGCTAAATTCACCACTGGCAGCAGCAGTTAGAATCACCCTAAACTAGTGGAGCTTACCTGCTTACACRTGCAAGAGTAACATTTCTTTATCAAAGCCCATATTTATGAAGAAAGCTAACTAGGAAGGTACATTAAGGTTTTSCCTTGACATTTCCTGAAAGGGAGTTATGACATTAAACACTGTGGAGGTTTTAGCTTGCTCTCCCAATTAAAAGAAGCCTCAGTGTATTTCCTGGTCTGTCAGTACCTCTCCACTTTATGTCCACTCCTAACTCCTGTAATTTTGATCCTTTTAGCTTGGTAACAATCAAATTTGGCAAACAACAAACAAGCAAAGCCATGAAGTTATTATAAGCTGGTGGTAACATGGAAACTTGGTAGAAGATACTGATATTGCCTGAACTTTGTCACACTATCAGAGAACTCACTCTGGAGAAAAATCCACGAAAAATAGACTGCAATGCTTCTCCTGATTAGGAAACTACTCATAAATTTAGCTCATCTTACAAACRGAGCAGATTAGACATTGTCTTGTGCAGACTTGTTTGTTTACCCAGCTAGGGAGATTATATTCTAACTGAAAAACCTGAATAATCAAAGAGAAATATAAGACAAAGCTTAGACTTTTTACTGTTTAAAAGGCACTGGGTTTCATGTTAAAAGATTCTTGTTCATAGGAGTGGCCCCTACTCTTAGGCCCACCCCTCAAAACAACTCACTTTACTTTCAAGACCTTTGACTTCCAGGGCACTCCAACATTTTCTATACCTGATGCATTACTAAGCATTCGCAGGACCAGTGGAAGTATGACTGCTGACAGCTGGGAGACACAAGTACAAACAGTTCATCATTAAACTTTAACACAACTTACTTCTGCAAGTTCTTTTGTCTGGGTTTAAAATGAACCCTGSGTGGCATCTACAGTAATAGGAGTCCTCAGTGTTAACACATTCGTGTTGGCAACCGTGGTTATCCAAAGCACAGTAGTCTACAACTGAAAAAGAACAAGACCAACATGTGCAATTAGAAAAACAAAATAAGAACTCTTATGCATAGACATTACGGTACTAGTGACACRCAGTAGCTAAAAAAAGGAAAAGCTGATGTAATTTCTGTCCTGAAAAGTCTTTCTGCAAAAAGTAGTGCACTTCCAACATGAGTTGGTAAATCAGATTTTAAATCAGTCCTGGATTATTTCTTAACTTTGCACATTTATCAGCTCTCAGATTGTGAAACGCCTTCTCAACATGTTTTCTTAGATATGGAAACCTTGCCTCAGTCAGTAACTCTGTCCAGATGTTCCCACTGTAGGCCAGGGCATAGCAAAGTTTGTTTGATTTAGTTTCTGTCTTCTGTCTCTCAAGTCCCAGTCCTGGAATTGCTCTTTTTTCCTTAGTTCCTTCCCAGCTGTATTAACTCTCAAGAGCTCCTTCTGTAGCCTGATTATATAGGAGAATCTTGGCAATGTCTTCTACATCATGGACTGTCACAGGACATTCATTCTCTCCAATGTGCTCCAGATTCATTCTGTACAAAGCAGCTACAATTACAAAGTCTGCGAGCTTCAGGCTGATATTCACCACTGATATTTTGCGTATATAATACCTTTTGCAAGAAAAAAATATCACAGGCAGTCCAGTCACTTATTTCATAAGTCTGGTCATTTATTACACAAATCCATATTTTAAAATTAGATTGCCAAAGGGTAATAAAGTAATACTTCAGAGTTCACTCTGTCAAGCCCATTCAAGTTGCCAAAGAAATAAAAGGATTTTTAAAATTTCTTTGCAGTTTAAGCTGTATCTTCACAATGGAAGTTTTAGAAGAAATGAMAGCTAAGTCACCAAGCTGCTGCTCTGTCCCCAAAGAACTGCCAAGCCTACATTAGGAAAATATACCTGATTCTTTCTGCAGAAGACAGTAATGTGCTTAGCTTCATACCCAGACAGGTTGCTCCTTGCCAACTGAGTAATTTTTTTTCACTACTTTATACTGCTGAGCCTCACAAATTTCTTTAAGAGGCAGTAATTTGTTTTAATTGAATCAATTCTTTCTTCAATTGCCCCACCGATGTAAATCATGCATACTCAGGTGTGCTAATATATTTAGTCAAGGTCATCTAGTCAGGAAAGCAGATAATGTATTCAGGTACTTTGAAAGAGTTTCTTTTAACCCTTCAGAATATTTGTGTTGAATCAATTCAAATTAAACTACTTACTGGCTACCATGTGATGCCATTTTCCTGGCAAGCACCTTCCTGTKTCCACACTGAATAGATTCCTATTAAAACCTGTTTAGTGAATATATATTTCAAGGCTATAATGTGCCATAAAATTAGCTGTTCTCTTAAATTAATTCTAACCTATGCACATTTTCAAGTGTTTAAACAACACATCAGGAAATAGGTAGGCCAAAGAATATATTCTAATTAGCATAATGGGAAATAGCCCATATGGATGTCTCTGTAAAGTCACCCCCTTCTCTGCATTTATACCTTAATGAAATTAATTTTACTGAAATACCTACAACTGCCCAACTAATGATAATAACAGTGAGAAGAGATGGACAATGACCATTTAGTCCAACCACTTCACCAGTTCAGAGTTGGCTTTGTCCAAATGCCTCTCACACACTGACAGGCTTGGAGCATCCACCTCCTTTAGGAAGGCTGTTCCAGTGTTTGCCCACCCTCTCAGTAAAGAAATGCTTCCTAATGTCCAGTCCAAACCTCCCCCAGCACAGCACTGAACAATTCCCACACATCCAAACCCTGGGAGAAAAGCTYGGAATGGACCTCACTCTTCACATTCCCCCCTCAATAAGCTGTAGAGAGAGATGAGGTTGCCCACTYAGTCTCTTCTCCAAACTAGACAGAACCAGAGTCCTCAGCTGCTTTTCACAGATCATTTCTTCCAGCCCTTTCACCAGCTTTGTTKTTTTAGRGACAACTGAACAGGTCTMAGAATGCTTTATTATGAGCATCTGAGCAACTATGACCCTAAACACTTTCAGATGACAGTCTCTGGAGCTAAGAACTGTACCTTATTATGGAGATGCAGTTACTAATGTACCTTAGACAGAATGGGGAAAAAAAACCCAACAAAATCAATAACTAATTTTTTCAGGCTTGTTTTTCAGCATTAACAGCCTTCTGAACTCTCCTCTCAGAAGCAGGTCTGTTGGCTTGTAAGAGCAACAAGTGCATAAATTTAAGTTATGCCTTCCTGTTAACACGGTTAAGAAATCAGAACATTCTCTTGACAGTTTTTTATCTCTTTTGGAGATAAGTATCATTCCCTTTTTCCCCAACAATTTTTATATATAAATTGCACTAATTACAGGCAGGCTTAGCCTTGCAGACTGGCACTAGTAATTGACCTAGAAACTCATTTCAGTTTTAGCTTCATGTTTCATTTTGGTGGTACTTGTTTAGAAGGGAAACTTGTCAATAGCATTCCAGTCAGAAAGTAGATAAGTTGTCCAAGGAATTAAATCTTCCTAAAAAGACTAAGAAAATGTATAAATTTGTGTCTCTTATACTGAAGTGCTGTAATCCTTTAGTTGGTATACAGAAAATATACACGGTTTGTACAAAGGCAAAGCAGAATAATATTTTTCTAATTAACAGAAGTTTCATTATTTTCATGATTCTATGCTGAGCCATGAGATCCATACAGGAATGTGAACGCTTAATGATTTCACTGTTTTTTCTCATGTCTATTTCGATWAGAAATTTTTCTAAATGATTAATTAGAGTCCTTTTTAGGGAGCAAACTTTAATTCAGTTGTCTCCTCCGACGTTTGTTCCACCTTGTTTTTCTCACTTGACATTAGATAGTCTAAGTGATGAGAACCATTTTTTATTGCCAGTTACCAGTTCTGCACTCCGGGTGCTTACATTGCCTTTTTAAACCGTGGGCTGCATGGGTCACCTTTCTCTTATATAGTTGTTTCAACCCTATTAAGTTTATGTAAGTTATTCAGGCTTGGGAGAATGAAGTAAGTTAAGGAGAAGGTAGAAGAAAAGGTGACAGAGTAAAGGCATAAGGAAGATTAAAAAGAACATAGGGGAAGAATAGAGCAGACTCATGGAACATTCGTAAGAACCTAAAAAGCAGGCAGTGGCAGGACCACAAAGAGGTGCCAGCAGCAAAACTACTCCCAAGAAAAGAAGACCCAAGCCCAGCAGCGGCAGCAATGTGGAGACAGCCTAGCACTASTGCCAGGAAAGAGAGGACAGCAACACCAAGAAGGTGGAGAGACTGAGTGTCCAGCAGCATGATGGAGAAAGGATGGCCCATTACCACCAAACTTCAACTGATAGGGCTCTGTCTATATAAAAAACAGTTCAAAAAAGGCAAAGTGATGGTGCCCTGCCAGAYAGTTTCAAATATTGTTTAGTCTAAAAATTTGTTCATAAACTGCTCATTGCAAACATTCAGAATGGCTGGTTGCTCAGTGGACACCATGAATGGATACATTGTGAGTTCTGGCTSTGAGATTTTATTTAATTACTGCCATTCAAGTAACTGGCTGTCATGCATCAATARAACAATTAATATTACCATTGATCTTTAAATTAGCCCATCAGAAAAATCTTGATAAACATGCCYGTGAAACGAATTTTTGGCACTTTGTCATTTGCTTTTGCTGTAGTTAAAATTTTAGAATTCTTAGGTATCTTAGATGGAAATCTTTGACTCTTTACAAGAGTCACAATGTGTATTTCCTACTGAATTCTCTTTTCATTCTCTGAAAGGGGATGAGAGTAACCTTAATAAAGTTACGGCTTTTTGCAAAATGTTGTTGTTCTCAGTGATCTCTAGTATATGTGTACATCAAGAGCTTTCTTCTGATCCTTCTCATTTGATAATAAATACTTCACAGAAAGAAAGGGTCAGTTAGATTAAGAGTGGTGAAGACTGAAAGTTATCATTACTGATTCAGTACTACACAGTTTCCCTCACAAAATTTTCCAGTAAGGATGATTATTCATTGGTGATCACACCCGCACAAGCTGTAAATTTTTAGTAGTAGCATATTCCTCAAAAATCTCAAATTGTTCAAACCTGAAAACTCATCTGGAGGCTGACAATAGGATTTGCAGTTAAATTAGCATCAAAATTATAAATCACCCAGACAAGCTTTTCCTGTTCAAGAAATGTAGAGAAACTAAGTTATGCATGGATAAAATATAATTAATATACATTGAACCATTCTCGTTAAGTAAGAAATGAAGAAGTCAAGTGATCAAATACACAAATGCAAAAGAAAACTAAAAAATAGAAATATTAATMATGTACTTTAAAATCCCAACTTGTACTGCTAATTATTGTAGTGGTATGTATGAATAGCATGAATTCATGCTTTGTTGCTAAACTAGGTACAAATGAATAGAAATCAAGTGGAGAAGCAAAAGTCTATAAAAYCCAAGATAGTGAACACATGCATGAACTGTATTTTGAAAACAACTGAAGAGGGAATGCAAAACCTTTAAATGTCAACAACAGAGCTTATAATAAACCTGTATCCCTTCATGCTGAAGAGAGTCAGTGAGAAGGTAGAAAAAAAAAGTCCAAGATGTATCACACCTCCAAACAACGCTCTTCAGACTTTGCAGGTAAGTTATTAGCAGGCCAAAAACCAAATATCAATGCAAGAAATTTAATAAATGGCACAGAAACCTTTTTAAGCTTTAAATAACAAAAATGACTTTGTGCTTATTACAGAGGATAATATTAGACTTGACATACAAAGAATTTCTCCCAAATGATGCTCTGGTAGCTACCTTCCTGGGAAGAGTATCCCGGGCTGCTAAGGACCTTTCAATGTAATAGAAAATAGTAACAACAGCTGATGACACTAAACATGAATATTTTTGATTAGAATATATGGTAGGAAAGAATTGGAGATGAAAGAAKCTATCAACAGAAGTCACAGATTTTCTGCCTCAGGATATAATCCAATAAATATCCTAATGCAAGTAAAGGTCATGAGGATAAGCTAAGATTATTTAATGAAAGTTAGATATAGAAATTTGGGCCAGAACATCAAACTTGCCTAAATAACCAATATTATCTGCATTTTCAAAACAATTTGGCTTCAAAAAGCAGGTTCTCAAAATGGCATATGAGGGGGCAAATTATTCTGGAGACAAATTATGTTGAGAGCTTTAAATACTCCTCTACTGAAATCATGAAGCTACAAGTAAAGGGAACTTTTCTGAAGAGTAGGTACAGAGTGAATGTTGTTCAAAACCTTATGTAATCCAAAGCATTAAAAACGTCAAAACCTTGTTTGTGTGTCCTATGTGAAGCTACATTTAGAAAGTTCCATAAATGGTCACCTATTTCACATCTTAAAACAGGGTTATCCTGCAAGCCAATAGTTCTTGAAAGTTCTTGAAATAGTTCTAAGAGAAAGATGTTAGAGCTGTCTTAAAATGACAAGAACAATTAAGCTGGTGGATAAAAGCATTGTGGCAACCTGTGGCAGGTTTGAGGCCAAGGATTCACTTGGATTCATTTCCATGGGACTTCAATATATGTTTGAAATTAAGCATGCATCTAAGTGCTTGTCTGAAGAGAATACCTAAGAAATAATGTATTTTTTTATTCACATCTCCCTAGGGATTTATTGCAGTGGATACCAGAAGACAGTATTTTTTCAGAATGTAGCATGGGATGAAAAGTTTACAAGAATAGGTGCATAGCCTTCTGAAAGAGATTATACCAGAAGTATTTCCATGCATAAACAGAGAAGAGGAGCAAGATATTTAACAGTAATAGAGAGGGAAGTATGTCTTGTGTTAAAAAATTATTGTACCATATTTCCACACTCTCTTTTTTGAGCTCTAATTCTTGGAGCTGATATTTACTTCCTCATTGCCCATAGTGAAAATTAAAAGCACATAATGGATGGGTTCTTAAAGTGGCTAAGSTCTCCTTAAAGTCATTTTCCCAAAAAGGGGTTGAAATCTCTCCCCACATGACCATAAAATCAAGTGAAAAAACAGCAAGAAATTGTCTCCTTACAAGTTTTCCCATGCATAACATCTGTCCAAAGAGGAGCTACTGACTTTGTCCAACTCTTTTTTTAATGGCCACATGTCATGCCAGTACATTGGTGGACATCTACATGGATCCTGAATAAAGCATCGGGTGTGTTGTTTCAAAACAGAAAATTACTTTGCGTGAAACTGGTTGGACCAATTTTCCCAAGACACCATTCATTATCAGTGAAGGCCTACAAATGTGTCACTTACGTGTTCTTTCTCATCTATCACTCGTACAGGAGAACATCATTGTCTATGAYTAAAGTGGATACTCATTGATATCGAATCTTCCTTTGGTTTGTGTCAAGAGATAAATGTGAATTGCTGCATTCATACTCACCAACACAATTCTTTCCATTTGCAGAAAGCTCATACCCTTCATAACACTGACAGACGTAGGACCCAGGTGTGTTCACACAAATCTGTTCACAGGCATGTTTCTCCACAGCACAAAGGTCCTGAGCTAGAAAACATAATTGCATGAGTATGAAATTCTTGAACTTCTACAATGCACAGGTAGACTATAGATCAAAAATAAATTTCAGGAAGCTACAGAGAGCCCTTTACAGATGAGCTCATTTTAACACCGATCATGCCAATATTCTGTCTAACAGTGAAAGCCAATAGGATCAGTCACTCAAAGCTGAGGCATTCATTTCTTCAGCTGAAGGCAGTGAAGGGCCAATGGTGCCTAGTAGAGTTACTTGATGTATGATTGTCTCAAGAGTTGAAAGGGCAGTCTTCGGAGATTCTTTTTTTTTTAATAAAAAAGTAATTGTTTCTATTTGCGTCTCTGTTGTTTTTGTGTAACCAGATAAATGATGATGACTTTGGAAAGGGAAAGAACAGGAAAACACAACAGCAAAAGACTATGGATATTTAATGTGGATGGGGATATTTAATTTCTGAGTTTTAGAATTTTTAACTTTTTGTGCAAAATGCCATATAGCAAGAAACCCCTCCCATGCAAAAGATCTCACAAAAAATTACAAATGAGGTCAGTTCAGCACCTAGCCAAATAAAGCACACTGGGCTTTCTTTTCAACAGACTAAAGCTTTATGAGAACCCCAAGTTTCCCCAGCGAAAGCTCTGGAAAGCAGAGTACTTTGTGTTGCTCAGAGACTGCTCAGCACATAATGGTCATTTACAGCTACAAAATAGGCTTTTGGAACGTGTTTGAGGAAATCAGCCAAGCAAAAATGAATTTTCTTTTATAGTTGTCTGCTTCATATCAAGCGGCATGATGAACAGCATAAACAGTCGCTTAACTCTTTTGTTCCAGTGTAAACACCCACAAATAGATAATTTTCCAGCTTGTTTCAGCTACATTCCTCTTTTGTGCTATTTTGTTCATTAATGTAAGATTTGAGCATCTCTAGAGAAGAATGGGAGAGATTAGTTAAACAAACAAATACAGCATAATCAGTAAAGAACACCCATTATCTGACACAAACACTCTTCTCTAGAAAAGTTAGACCACAGTACATGAAAGGATCATCCTTTGCATGCATGCAAAACTATCATAATTAAACAAATGTAAGAATATTTTAAGTTAAACAAACCATTTCCCRGCCTGAAACACAGTTATCAGTTCACTGCTGATTGAGGCCATTTGGTTAAGAGCTTTAAAGAACAGAGTACAGATATGGTGTACTCTCACAACATTAAAAGAAAGGGAACAGAAAAATGAAAACAGAGTCTAACTTTAGGTATAAAAGAATTAAAGGAGAGTATAACATTAGGTACATACCATTCATCTTTTCTGCACTGTTTAATTTAGAAAGTGTTAAATCATGTATATAAGGAAACTGTTCATGGAAAAGCTGCTGAATACATCCAAACCTTAGATAAATACATCTGGTTTATGTTGATCATGTATTGTACTTAATATAAACATGATGAAGATTTATTTTACTTGGATGTCAAGTAAGGAACCCATTGTCTCTGTGGCAATTTGTCTCTATGCACTTGTGGGCAATTAGCAGCCAATGAAGGTAACTAAAACACAGACTATGCATTTTTCTATCACTGTGGTTCCCCTACTTCCAGAACTCAGCCGTCCCATTTGTCCAGGCTTGGCTCCCCATCCTCATGAATTCTGTTACCTCTCTGTGGACGGTTTTAGACATAATGGTTTCACCTTCTCTAGACTGATACTGCATCATCTCTCTCCTTCACCAATGATTTGCACCATCCTAGCACATTTAAGATCCCTCTGATGACTCTCAAATTTCCAGCTCTAATTGCTAAAATTAGTTTATAATTTGGTGATGTAAAAAAAAATTCAGAGGCTACAAACACATTGAAGGACTAATCTCCCTTTCATACTGATCAAACTGCAACCTGGTATCATATGACTGATGATCAAAGCAGGTACACAATCAAAGAAGTAATGTGCAATTTATAAGTCATAGCTAAAAAAGAAAGTAAAGCAATATAGCAAAGGATTTCAAAAATGGTAGAGAGAGAGCATATTGAGGGCTAYTCTGTATGGGTCACCAGTAGGAAAATTACACACAGTTCCAAAACTCTTGGAAATTAACCTGTATTTGAAGTAGTGCAGTCCCAAATGCTGAACTACTGGCTGAGAAAAACTACGGAAATATAACAGTAAAAAGAAGAGACAATAAATAAAGATTTTTTTCATACTTACAATTGAATTTTTTAAAACTGATTCACAAAAAAAACAGTTCAGTTGTCAAAATTGACGCTAGGGGTAAGGATTGGAGCAATGTGTGAGAGGCAATTAAAAAAGAAAAGAAATTCTGAATTTTAAACAAATTTCAGAAAATTGAAAGAAAAAATACTTTATTAACATTCATTTCATGTGGAGAGTTTAAAWGAAAGGCTTAAAGGATACAAAAGTTTTAAATGAGAAGCATTTTAAGAGGGACACAATGAAGAGAAAAGGTTAGACAATACTTCTGAAATGTGATTACATTGTTGGAGCCATCATTTGTAATAATGATTACATCATATGACTGCCTTTCTGGTGAGTTATAGCAAACCTGCTAAAGCAGAGAAAGTAGGCTCTATGAAAATTGTTCTGGTCACTATCCTTGTCTTGGCTGAGTTGCTAAATTAAATAACAATTTGTAAATATTCCAGATTGGACTGGTTTGTTGGGGTTTTTTTTTTGCATCTTCTGAAGGAAACAAACCCACAAATAAAGTGTTATCTTTGTTCCATTTAATGCAACACACTGCCTTGTAATTCACAGAAATGCTTATGACAAATGTCTACATTTGGTGAAGGATGTGGTACRAAGGAACAGAAAACAGAGATTCTKACAGCTCAACAGCACAGAAGGCGAACAGTTCTAAAGTGGTTTTCCTGCTGTAGCCCAAAGGGTCTGAAGATGCTTCCATGCAGGAGTGAGAATATCCTGATCACTCTGGACATTATTTAGATCCCATACCTATTGACTGAGGCTCTGAAACCATGTGTCCCACTACAAACGTAAAGATTCTAATCCCCAAGCTGCAGTCAGATCAGATACGGACATACCCTCCCTGTTTCATTGATGTTTGGAATTTGATATTAAACACAGCTCTAAGCAAGAGAGACTAAGAATCAACTAATCTCAAGATATCTGATATCTTTATGGCACTCTCCTGAGACACAGAACATCAAACACAGGGATAGGATTTGAGCCTGCAGTCTTCACCTTAGTTCTAAATTATCATTTGTAAGAGGTACATCCTATGCTGTCTCAATGACTGTCTCCCACAGCTTCTCGAAAAGACATTTTTCAAAATTTTTCTTCTGGCTAAAATCAGTTTAGCAACTTTAATTTGAACCCATGCACTTTCATTTGATTCCATGCACGTCTGTGTGATAAAAAAMCTGAATTTTTAGCAAGTACATTTTCCACAAGTAGTTAAGATAGTGTTACATAATCTCTTTAAAATAAGGTGGATACAGAAATAAATTTGGCATATCTCTCTAATGTAATTTGCTGTTAATTACTAGGAAGACAAGGTAAAATGGATTAATGAAACACCGATCATAAAGATCAAAATTAAAGTGAAATAAAGTTTGTTGTTATAACTTAATTAGCCAACTACTCAAAACTGAAAAAAGTCAACACTTTTAAAGAGAGGAATAAGAGCATAAGCAAGACTTTTGAAACCATTCTGTGGAAGGTTGCAAACACTTATATTTGCAGCAGCAGTTAGGAAGAGCTTTTCAGAATGTCAAGTTATTTCACAGTTTTCTAATATGGGGTTTATTGCACCTTTCTGTACCATTTAGTACTATTGCTAGCTAGACAACTTAGTACGGTATCTAAATTCACTTMATTTGGAACGATAATGTTATTTATTTTGTTGTTGTTTCATCATTGAACTTATTATACCAATAAAATTCAAATGCAGTTTTATACAGTTACAGTGTACCTCTGCAGAGCTATGTATAAAATTTAGCTTGATCTACTTTAGAAARTACATCTATTATATGTATAAATTATAAAAACTTCACTCACACAAAGCAAGAAAAAGAATTACAACTTCACCTCTCTAGGCACTTTCTGAAGATTATCATTACCTTATGTACTGAGCTTAGTTCTTTATGAGCCCAACAGTTAAGCACTTTTTGGGAGTAGGAAAGAGAAAAGAAAGATAACATACTGCTGCAAGTCTTCTGGTCAGCATTCAGAATATATCCTTGTTTACATCTGCACAGGTAGGAGCCAGGGGTGTTTATGCAGAAGTGATCACAGTGRTGCTCAACTATACTGCACATATGAGGCACTGAAAGAAAAAAAAGTAAAACAATACTAACTGCTGGTCTTAATTACCTGTAGTCACAACTGAAAAAAACTGGTGTAGAAAATTTTATTGAAGTAACSTAGAAATTTCAAATTAAGTGCTGTTAGTAAAGATAAAAATGAAAGCTTAAGAAAATAACAATAAACAAGAGAGTATCTGAAAAAACCAATTATTTGGTGGTCCTACGAAGACAATGAAACAAATGTGTCATATTCAAATTTAGAAAGTAAGTGGAATTTAACTGTAAGCTGATTTAGAGGATATTCAATTTCTTGCATGAAGAAAATTACCACACAGTACCCAACAATAAAGAAGAATGTCTATAAAACAACATAATGAAGAGACTATTTTGCTTGCTTAGTTATTAATATTGAGGAACATACAAATAAAAAAAGATGGCATTGAGGATGTGTATCTCCAAGATTCATCAAGCAGGAGCTGAGCTAAGCTACACTCCAGATTGTAAGTCTGAGTCTATTTTTGTTCTTTTTGTGTTTTATGCATCTAATAGATAGTATTAAAATGCAGCAGATTGAGACAATAAAAAAGAAAAAGAATGGAGACTCATTCAGTCAAATTAATTGTTGAACTATTTTTCTCCAGATCAGCATTTGGATATTCAGAAATCATGATATTTTCTTTCCACTGGAGCAATGCTTGTATGCAATCTCTACAATATATGGGTGAATTGCTTCTCAGAGAATATTGTGTGACAAATGATCTATTTTGCTCAATAGCAATTAGGGATTGATGTGCTCCTTAATGTGATAGGTTGACAAAGCTCGAAATTTATGGAATGTATATTAACAGTAATCTCCTAGAAGCCACAACAGAAAGCCTGCTAAATAACTTAATGTGGTAGGTGTGGTACWTGTGGAATAAAGCCACTTTTGATTTTAAAACATATACTATGTATCTGCTCTTTGGAATGGTTACAAGAGTTAAGTATTTATTGCTGACACACAAACCACCACAATTCCCAAATCTCTTGATCAGCTTCTTGGATTTCATAAATTTCTGCCATAATAAAACTTCTCAAGTACTTTTATTTATGTGAATACAACTTCTTGTCTTTTCATCTYTCTGTCATTCTGAAAATGAAAGCATTCAATGACAGGATTCCCCATAAGTCCCTTCTGAGAATCAACCCATTGTTACTGTTTGTCACCAATCTTCCCACATACTGCACATGTGTTGTGTACATGTACCTAAGTGTTTCTGTTGCATCCATTTCAAAGCAGTGATACTCTGGTTATCAGTACAAYTTCTGCAGTGGAGTCTGAGTCTGCTCTCTGAATGATTTCTGCAACCTCATCTGTTGCAAAAGGAGTTTGGTGGTCATTAGGCAGGGACTGAAGTAATAGAAAGGGTGATCTCATACTTAAGGAACTTGAACATGAACTCTGTTGTGAATTAGATTTTATCTCTATATCACAGAGTCTCTACTTGATATTGGGAAAAACAATAATATCAGTATCTTCAAGGAAAGATCAGCCTTCACACTGTATCTGTTCAGATAGAGACACCTGAATCTGGATTTGCAAGAATGCAAGTGATGGCTGTACAGCTGTGAATCACATATTAGTCCAAAAACATTAAATGTCCCAGACAATCACACCAGGAATTGCACTGAGTCAAATACTTCAAGTTAGTGGGTGGTTTTGATAAACTTAACCCTGTTTCTCTGCCTCCATTCCTCCAATACAGAATAGGGACAACACCATTGTCTACAGAAATATAATGCCTGCGCAATCACAAGTTCATTTGCCCCTGATTGCTCCAGCCCAAATTCTGCCTTTCTCACAATTCTTCAAATCTCCATCTCCTTTCCTGGATTTCTGTCCCCTTTTCTATTCACACTTTTCTGAGTTTTTAACTCTTTTCTTATTCCTCATGCCTCTGATCCCTACGGATACTCTTTGCTTCTGGTTTACCTTGTTGACTAGTAATAAAAAGAGGCCCTTGCTTCAACTGCTGTTTCTGACATCCCCAAACCTTTAGCAGCCAGGGACAGCAAGCGTAGGGAACCTCTGACTTAACAGAATGGAACATATTCAGTTAATGTGGATTCTTCGGAGAATACAGGTCCTAGCTACCTAGTAGTCTTCACCATCCAGTAGTAAATAGTGATTAACTTAACTTACTTTTTATTTTCCCCACAGACATAAGGGTGATTCAAACACAAAGACAGCTTGACAGGTGCCAAGGTCTTTTCCCACAGCATGAAGCCTAGCAGGCTGTACTCCAGACTTGACCAGCGGARTGCCTTCAAYGACTTTAGCAAAGGTGTCCAGATRTTCCACTCAGCTACAATGATACTGYCTCTGGGTCAACAGCTGGGAGGATTTAAACTAACCACATTTCCTGGGAGCAATGTAGGTGCTCTAGCAAGCAGAGGATATGATTATTCTCTCGAAATTCAGCAAGCTGAATGCTGCTTCACAGTCGAGAGCCAGTAAGATGTTCAGGATCCTATCTGCAATTTAGTTAGTACCTTATGTTGAAATCTATATGAATCTAACAGCTTAAACTCTCTGTTGAATCTGGGTTTTTAAACATGTCTTAGGATCTCACTTTGAATTCCCAGCACAGCAAATACTGTGGAGGCACTCTCTGGGAGCAGGAGGCAACCACTACCCTTGTCCCCTCTATACTCTTTCTTCATCTGCAGTGAGGGGATAGCTTTACTGAGGAACATGTGTTTGATTTAAAATGAGCTAAAAARCTCTAATAAATTTATTGGACACTTTCCCAGTCAGAAAAAAAAACAAACAAGTAAATGGTATTTGTACTGGATTTGTCTCTAAAACACAGTTTAAAAAATCAGCATTCACAGTTCATTCCATTTAAACTATCAATCCATGATTAGTTTACTCTTTCTTAGTTTTGAAATATATCCTACTACACCAGCTAATAGTACAGCAAGGACAAAATAGGAAAAAATCCATTATGTGATGAATGTCTGTGTTGGTGTTTTATGCTGAGGCAGTTCAGCTGTTCTTTGAAACAATTTGGGAAAAGATCAAGTAAGGAAAATTCTCCAGACTATGCTTACAACAAGCTTCAGTTTTTTTTCTGGCAAAAGCATCCTTAGAGATGAGTGAGCATTTAATCTTACCATGGATTCTTTTTCTGGGCTCTACTGAAAATGCATCAGCTTAACATCAAATTTGTATGAAGTACTTCCATATTTATCACAGGAATAAATAAAAAAAAGTCTACTAAGTATACAAATGAAAATAAAATTAATTACCAATGCCATGATATTTGCAAAAGGCAATTCCTTATTAGGGAATTACAGATGGAAGTGATATCTCTGTTGAACATTAATATCTATAACAATATTTACTTTATTCTATGAATGAATAGTATCACTGTAATGGCTTTTATTAATGTTCTGTATTTAAATTAGATGGAATATAAACATCACTATATCTGTGTTTCATTTCCAGTCACAAGGCATGTATAGAAATGATTGTTTGCAGAGAATTASTATGTAAGCTTTGGAAGAGGAATCCATAGACTCTGAAGAATATTTAAATAACCAAAAGATGGTTGAGCAGTTTAAAGTTTCACTACTAAGGGAGATCACATTTAAAAAGAATAGATGAAACAACTTATCTAACATTCAAATAGCAGAAACTGTAAATTTATTGCTATTATGCAATAAATAGGAAAACCGTATGTGTATGCCTAACTGCTTATGACACAAGGTATTAGATCCCATTTTATGGCTCTTAATATTAGCCTGAGTTTTCYCCACATGTGTGACTGCTGTTCTGGATGTTGTCTGGCTAGTCTCCCTTCAATACATATACTCTAACAGATAAGGTTTCATGTAAAAAGAAAAGGTTTAATTATAATGCATATTTTTTTCTGTTTTACTTTCATTTATGTATTCAAATCTATAGATAAAAATCTTACCACAAAGTTTAGTCTGGAAGGCAGAGGTCAGTGTTTCAATCTGACTGAAATTAGCAACCAGAAACACATGTTCTTCATGAGGTTCACTCCCAATGGACTTCAGAGTGTTCATATCTACTCTTCCCACTCCAATGGCAAAAATTAGGATTCCTGAGTTACGTGCTTTAGCAGCAATCTCTGCCACAGGATCCTGAGGTCTCCCATCTGTCACTATCATGATGATTCKGGGCACATTGTGCCTCAGAGGTCGMGCCCCTTCTGTCTCTGAAAACGCGATGTTCACTGCGTACTGCAGAGCCAGCCCGGTCATGGTGCCAGTGGCMAGGTGCATCATCCTCTTCACCGCCCGTTCGATTTCCTGCTTCCGCCTGAAGGTCTTCAGCGAGAACTCCTGCTTGACGGTGCTGCCGTACTGAATCAGACCCACGCGCGTGGCATCAGGGCTGATGTCCAGGAACTGCAAGATGGTCAAAATGAACTCCTTCACTTTTTCAAAGTCATAATGGCGCACACTGCGAGAGCTGTCAATGATGAAAACAAGGTCCAGACGTTTGTTGTTGCAAGTGTTTTCTAAAAGGAAAATGCAAACAAAAATACTTTACAAGAATTTCAAAATGTGCATAGGTTCAGGTTTACTRTCTAAACAAACACTCTGATAAGTGCTGTGAAAATTCAGGAAAATAGGAGACCAGAACTAAGACTACTTGGGCAATATAAATTTGTTCTCCAGTAAATAACAAAAGCTGCCTGTTACCTGACCATTAAACGTACTTTTTTGCGTGCATATGTGAGATCAGTGCCCAGAATGGTTAATGGCAGTGGAACAGCGAGATAGAATCAAAGAATCAGAGAATAGCTTGGGTTGGAAGAGACATGATGATCAGGCAGTTCAACCCCMCTGCCATGAGCAGGGACATCTCCCATTAGACCAGGTTGCTCAAAGCCCCATCCAACCTGGCCTTAAACACTGCCAAGGATGGGACACCCATGTCTGGGTCAACCTGTTCGAGTATCTCACAGTAAAGAACTTCTTCCCTATATCTAATCCAAACCTGGCCTCATTACCTGTTGTCCCACCGCTATGTGCCCCTGTCAAATGACACTCTTCAGATACTTGTTCATTACCCTGTTGCGTCATTGTGAGAATTCGACCTCGTTCTCCACACAGAGTGGAAGTCCTCTCTGAATTACATAGTAAACTATTTAAGTGGGCTGCACAGTGATGCTTTTTGTGGCAGTGCTTGAGAATTTAGAAATCTAATACTGTGACAAGTCAGGGTGGTATCAGTCTTTCATCAGAAACAGGGAAAACAGAACACAAAGAAATACAGGTCAAAAGCATCTGTTAATTGCATTGACGGATAAGAGACATGAAGGGACTGATTTTCCAARGAAGTTGGCAGTAAGCAGCACTTTGCATGTATAAAGTGCAATTCTCAATGACGTCAACTGCAGCTGTGAGTGCTCAGCAGCTCTGCAAACGAAATGCCATGATTTCAAACATGTCATTAATAGCCATCTGGGGAAAGTTTCATTATTGGACTARCTCAGCATCATAGAGAAATTCCACGGCTGCATCAGAGAGAAAATCCTGTTGTCTACAGTGGCACTCCATTTGGCCAAAAAAACACTTAACACTCCATGAAATCCATGCCAGCCAGTCTTTTTTTTTGCAAGAGCCATTGAAGCCGAAATATTACAGAGTATGTCTGTATCTGACAATTGCACAGATGGGCACGCCAAGCTATCATGGATAACAGYAGAAGTGAAGGCTGCCTGCCTTCTAGGCACCCTACAAGCTTTCTGGGACCCCGGGTATGTCCTCTAGCTTCTGTTCAGCATCCTTTTCTGAAAGAATATGAGAAATATGAGACATATGTATGAGTTGCATGATGGGAATGGATAGAGACTGACCATTCACAGGAAGCCAGCCCATGGCAGCCCTGAGGCAAGCCTGTGAGGTGAGCGGTCAAACTTGCCACAGAAGAGAGCATATGGAAAAAGATTAAAAGGACTTCAATGGGATGATGATGAATAGAAATCAACAGAGGTTTAACATGTATATTAAAGACTCCTCCAAATCAGGAAATCCCTGAGTCACAAAAGCATGGTTGTTCAGGGAAAAGCTGCAGGTGGCATTTTCTTATCCTTAAACTATTCCACATGCATCTACTTTTGACCTCTGTCAGACAGAACACAGTTAGATCTATGCCTCCAATCATTGTGTCTGCTCATCTTCTCAAATTTCTGTGACTATGAATAAACCTGTGAGGTAGTTAGTTGTGTTTACCTGTCTGACTTGAAAAATTAAAGATGGCAAGAATGCTCATTAGACTTCAGCAACATCCTCATTTTACTAAGCTGAGACACCCCTAATCAGCAGTTTCCCTTACTGCCGAACCAAATTCAATTCCCAGTGCACTTCATCCATCTCTGTGCGGTGCATGAGGCAAATGMTTGGTGGAAAAGTAGTGATTGACTGTATAATCAAAGGTCATGTCATACTGTACAAGTACAAGTGGGCCAATCAAAGACTCAATTGGAAAAACATCTCTCTGTAGACGGCCTTTGAACAATTCACTTGTGACTGCTGACGAATGCTCATCGTGCACTTCTGCCAAGGCAGAGGGTGAGAAAGATGCCTGTTTTCACTCGTTAACTCAGAAGCCTCTTTCACAGATTACCAAGAACTCTTGTTGGCATAGAATAAAAATGCTCTTTASTGACAATAAAAATGACTGCMTGGATTTATTCATGTGCARTCTACAGTGCAGCTTTATTCATAARCRTAGGAATATGCTCGGGTTGCTTATTCTTTCAAAATCAGAGCAGGTTGAATGTAAGCCAAGCTGAGCAGAAACAAAATTCCAACTCTAATGGGATACAGATATCCTRACACAACTATTTTCCATCTTACTATCCTAATTATAGTTCTCCATATATATAAAGTATTATGAATTTTACTAATATAACATGAATCATTCCAGCAATAGAAAGACAATGCTGGGTTATGATTTGTGGGAGCAGAGCAAGAGAAAAAGAGGATAATTACTGAAAAAAAGGCTAAGAACATGTGTATATAGAAGGGGAAGGACAGACAAGGGAGAAGGGTAAAATTATTGCTATTTTATTTCCCTTAAAACATTTCAGCATGGACTCACTAAAGGTAACTCATGCTTGACCAGCCTGATTGCCTTCTATGATGAAAGAACTGCCTGGATGGATAAGGGGAGAGCAGTGGATGTTGTCTACCTTGACTTCAGCAAGGCTTTCAATGCTGTCTCACAACATCCTCACAGGCAAACTCACGAAGTGGTGGGTGGACAGAGAGGTGAATTGAGAACCGACTGTACAGAAGATCCCAGAGGGTTGTAATCAGTGGCACAGGGTCTGGTTGGGGGCCTGTCACTGGTGGTGCCACCCAAGGTTCAACAYTGTGCTGAATTACTTTAGAAAAATCTATTAATCTGGATGAAATACAGTGTATTTCAAAACTACTTTGACCAGCAAAGTGCTATCTACAGAAACACCAAACATTTCCAAAATTATTTGGAATTAATTAATTAAATTGTCTTCTGATTTGGTRTAAATTCTTAAAAATGCTGGATTTATTAAAGTTGATTTCACTTAGATGGGCTCAATGAAAAACAAAATGTAACTTTTACAGTTAAAAAATCCAGCTTGGTGGTATTTTGAGGAGTGGCAATCAGTAATGACTAAAAGATCTAAACACTCAACCCCTCAGATAAATTTTCAGCTTTTCAGCAGTTACATKCTTCTCCATTTGCTCTGTAAACTATAATCTCTTCCTCTGACCAGCTCTCATTTTAAATAGTGAACTTTCTCACAACTTTGGCAAACATCTTCATACCCAAAAGTAATTCCCCTCCACTCTTATGAAAATTGACATACTCGTTGAAAAGAGCTACTCATCCATAAACCTACTTCTAAGTCAGCAGAGGTCTCGTATTGCCAACACAAAAAAACACAAAAAAACCCTCCATGTGAGTTGCATTATCCAAAGGGGAAGCCAGGAGAGGCAAGACAAAGGCAGAAGGAAGGATCAAGTCAGGAGTAAATATGTTCTTCTCTACTCAATATCCACTTTGTAAATGAGAGTTATTGTGATGCCACCTTTGGAAAACTAACAATACARGGAAATTTCAGTTCTACTGGGAAGAATCCAGCTGGGATCCATTTACTGAGAGATATATAAAACAAAGCTTAAAAGAATACTGGGCATCTTCATTTCCTCTAAAGCTGAAAATTCCATTAAATCTTTATTCGATTAAATTTTCTCTCATGACTGCAGGTTTCCTTCTATTCCTTTGTCAAAGCAAATTATGCTCAGGCCTGAATCCTGTTTTGGCTTTGACAAAGCTCACACRGCTTTGATTCTGCTCACCCACCCAGGGTCTATGTCTGAGAGTATGTTTCTACCCTCTCAGCTTATTTTYCACTAATGCTAAATTCCCTTAAGACAGCTAAAGCAGCACTAGAGAGCTTTCTTGGATGTTGGAATTGACTCAAGGCTATTAAATCATTAGAACAGTTCCTGATACTGTTGTCTGAGGAAAATTCACATTTTCTGAAGCAATCCTCAGGCATGATATGGGAAGCAGCACGAGGCAGGGATCCAACCTGTGTGGATGGAACTGGTCTGTGAGCTCAGGGTATTCCATAACACAGAAGCAGACCACGTTGTACCACTGGTCTCAGTGCCAGAGAGCAGTCTAAGGCACCAGCTAAGCTCAGAGGACAGCTGGCCTGAATCCACAGTGTTTTACTCACCTTCTTGCTAAAAGAGTGGCTGTATGCAAGAGGCCYGCTGGGAATAGTTTGTGTAGGGATTATTCCCTGTATCTTCTGAACCATATGTGGTGATTGCTAGTCACTGCGGGCCAGAGACAGCTCCAGCCATTTAACAGCAACAACAACGGTGGAGTTCCAATGCTCAGGAATGTTCCCAGCACTGTTTMATTTCCTCAAACATTTCCATCTGGGGATATTCACACACATTCAAAGGACACAAGTTTTAGATGGTGCTTTTTTAAAAGTTTTTACAAGTTGGCTCTCTTAAAAAAACTGCTGGTTTAAAAATGAGATAGTTGTTTTCTGGTTTTGTCCTACATCTTTTTGATTCCTTAATACTTTTCCTTTTTTTTTTAATCTGGATAATACTTACTTGGTTATATAGGTCTTTATTCTAATAGATGAGAATGGATAAATGTTAAAGGCTAGCTATTGTTGTGTGCAAAGCAAAAGGCTGTTAGCTCAATTTGGTAAACATTTGGTAAAACAGCAAAGTTTAGACATTGAAAAAGTAATTTATAACCAGTAAATATTAGGTCCAAGAAAATGTTTGTTATAGAATACAACAATTTAAGGAAAAAGGATTAAATGAGTTAAGACAAAATGAGATCGTAGAAAGATTATTGCCTGAGCAGACTTTTAATGGTGATTTTAATATTTTGTATTTCTTAGCTCACTCCCCAGTAATGCATATACAAAAATTCCATGTTCCGTGACACTGCCAGCAGTAATGCTATTTTTAGATTTTATCTTTGAGT